TTAATGTGTATCCATATTTTATTCCATGTGACTGTTTGTCTCTGACATGATATATGACAATTTTTATATCCAGCCCTACGGGGTGACTGTCGGATCAAAGAAATGTATTTTATAAATAAAATAAATAAATAAACCAGGAAAAGCAGTCTTGGATAGAATGGGGTCTTCCTACACTGAAGCTGGCCATGTAATGAAACAAGATGCGATATACTAAGTCCACAATTACGTTTGGCATAAAAAGGAAAGCAAAGCTACCCCATGCTTAGTTAGGCAACAAGTCATGAATGCATAAGGAGAAGTGGAACTAGTGGTGAATGGTCAGCTTCTCGCCCCTGCCACTTTACTCCCGGAAAGAAAGAGCACCCGATAGCCTCTCTGTAAGAGGTTAGGTGGACTCCCAGAGCGCTACATCGTAATATATATATATATATAAACAATGAAACCTGCCCTTAAACTCACTAAATTGATACCTCGTAAACTTTTCTGCCGTTCATGGTGTCAGTTTCTTTCCATATTTCCGTTTGTAAAAAAATAATAAATTCTTAAGTCGATGCTCCAGATTTCATTCTCAAGTTGGTATACATGTGAACAGCTGCTACTGTTAGTTCCTGTGTGTGTGTGTGTGTGTGTGTGTGAAATCGTATGAAAATTATGATAACCAATTTACTGATATGTATTTTGACATGATAAATTTTAATTATCTTTATTTATCTATGTATGGAGTGATTATTTATGTTTCAGTAGAGAACTACGGAACTTTATATTATCTCCTCTCTTTATGCTTTTTAAAAGTAAATCCATTAATACTTCTGCTTGCAAGTTATCTGTGTATAGATTATAGTGCAATTTCTCACCAACAACTTCCGCCGTCGGAGTACTTTTTTTTTTATGTCGTAAATGTGCTAAAATATATATGGATGAAACTTACGTTTGATTTAGTCATAGTTTTCAGATTTATAAGACATTTTCTACGAAAATATGCTACGAACGAAGTAATTACAGTTTCGAAAGTGCAATTTAACGGCACTATATGGAAGTCCAGCCGAAATTAACTAGCTTAGAATTGGTGAGATGATCAGCCTCCATATGTCTACACATGACTGCCAAAGTGTACCATAATAATTAGGTAAATACAAGAAAAAAGTTTTGTTTTCATGTCATAGATTAAACTAATTCCAGAGCTCATGTTTTATTTTTATCTTGGTCTCATGAGAGGATTTCGTTTACTGGGACTTGATGGTAAAGATTTCATTTAACTGCATACAAAACTCTTTTATGTTCTTAATAAGTTATGGCATTGGGACGAAAATATAGACGTGGTATTGTTAATTTATGTTGACTGCCAATAGTAAATATTACTAGACCGCTGAGTAGTTTTTGGTGCTAAACCTGTTTTACATTCCAGTTTTGTCTATAGTCACGCTTGACCAAACTGGGGTATGACCAATTGTAGTTGCGTTTGTATGGTTGTATAAGGATGTCAGGGAATTGAAAAAGTTGTCTTACTTTGAAGGAAAGTGGAGGAATGTAATGTATGGTGAATTTGGAAAAAATTTCCAGAAAGGCATGAGGAAGCCATAAAATCTTAGTAAAATAATTTCTCATTTGCCAAACAATTATCTCAAAAATACAAGCCTTGTGAATTGATAACTGAAGTAACCTTCCTTCTCCTTGAATAACCATGGCTGTCACCTTCAAAATTTTGTTCTATTTCAGAATAAAAGATGTCTTGGAGTCCTGGAGGTGATACAGGGGAGGAGCCCCCTCCCTCATATCAAGAGGAAGGAGATATGAAAGATCAGTTTCAGCAACAGCAAGAGAAAATAGCAGAATTGAAAGAGCTGTTAAAGCAAAATGAAGAGAAATTGATGAACAAAGAAAAAGAGGTTGAGGTAAATACAAATATTTTTGTATATGAAAGTGAAAGTTCATATTGTGTTGTTCTGGGCTGTGACACTTTAGTCTGGTAGACAGGTACCAGTGTCTTCCCTGAAGATACAAGCAATATGTTCCTCCAAAACATTGATTCATTGTCGTAACCCAGAAGATGACAGCATGAAAAGTAGTTCATCCCATACTTGTATTACTGAGCTCCATGGAACATACTCCGCACCCAGCTAGTTAAGAAATTCTCTCCCTCTTGTGAACCGAAAGATGTGTTCTTATGTTAAAAGGAAAAATGAATACCAAACTAAATAAACAAAATAGAAATACTGTATTTCACGCAGCTCGTCCTTTTCTTCAGGTTTTGTGACTAAAATTTTGTGTGCACTTTTTATCTGTCACAAGAATTCTACATACCCCACCCATCTTATTCTCCTTTGTTCCATTATCCTAGTGATATTCGGTGAAGAGTACAAATTATGACTTTCAACTTTCAACTATATTTTTGTCCATAACTGAAGTGAATACAGTTGGACATGTCAAGAAATAATAACGAATACATCACATGTCAAAGTAACATAAAATTTACACAGTGGTTTATCACTATAATATAGCAACCTTTATAAGAAGCATAATAATAAAAAATACAGGAGACCGAAAGAAAAATGTCAGTAATATAAAACATATAAACACAATATTAAAAATTGGAAACCAAAAGACAATCAACAAGCTAGTCATCAATCCAACATCAGTTGAAAAATTCACAAAGAGAATAGAAAGTGCTGCGCAACAAATAAGCTCCTTATTAGGCTGTTTTCTCCAGCTTTTTGTTCTTTCCTCAGTCGTAGGTTAAAGTATTCTTCTTTGCACCCTGTTCATTCTGTTGCACTGTCACAGGAAGGTGTATATTAGCATCATATTTGTAAGTAGCAGTTGAACATACCTTTTCCAGCTGCAGGACAGACCTAGTGATATAAACCTTTCCATTCCCATGACATCAGAAGAAACTGTGTCATAGCTGTGGAACCTTAGACCAGCCAAGCAAATGCTATTGTTTGTGTACATTTCCATTCCTTGTGGAGGATGCATTAGGGTGAAATATCTAAGCTAAGTGACATGAGGTACTGGCAGTGAAACAGCGTCAAATTATCAACCGTGGGAATGTCCCTTAAGTAGGGCATGCATCAGCACATTTGTTATGCAGCAGTTGAATTAATGCCTGAGGAAACCCAATTCTCAGCCACATACCAGTACATTTATAATTTAAACAGAATGTAACCATAGATAGACCAGACAAATATGTTTTCCTTGACCAACCATGTTCTTACCGCCTCACAAAAACCATTCATTCAAGTTTCTTGGGAACCAGACAGGTTCATGTAGCAGTACCACTTTAGACTTGTCTTTTTGGAGTGCTTGGTTTGAATCTTGGCTGTGACACTGGCTATCCTGATTGAGGTTTTTCATGTTTTGCTTCCATATATAGATGTCAAGATAGTACCTTGATCGGACCACGACTGCTTCTTTTCAGATCCTTTCCAGTGCATCAGTCATTCTATGTCCTGATACTGTATGGCCTAGATTGTGTCATAAAATAAGCCATTTCTTATCATTACATTTCCTACAAAGATGAGAATATGTGAATGAATTATATGATGAAATGTACAGCATTAACTGAAGCCCACTTCTTAGAGTAAGAAACCTTAGAAATCAGATGTGTAATGTTTGTACATGTACTTGAATGGGGTCCTGTGTTACACTGACAGCAATATGCCACAAAACTCTCGGACATCAAGTCACGTTCAAAAGCGTCCAAACGCAAGTCTGTGGTACAGAAACAGGACTCACCAGAACAAGTGGAGGACCTTGAGACACCAAAGAAGGGAAGCCATAAGGAGGAAGTGTCAACTCCTGTGAGGAAAAGCACAGAGAAGGTGCCAAAAGGGAATCTGGTTCTTCTACGTAAGAAATTAGAAGAAAACAGGTACAGGCAATTGATTTGAGGTTCTAACAGCTGTGAATGTAAAGAGTACTATCTTTAGGGATGCACCATCACATAATGTGGTAGAAGTTAATCAGTGTTGCTTCCCATCTTCCTATTGCTGAATACTTATTTGGCTTATTTATCAACTCTGAAGATGGACGCACTGTGTTCCTCCATATCATTGGTGAACTCCTGTCAGACTGCGTGGCTTCACGTTGCACAAGATAGTACTCTACAAGTAATTAATTGTACCTCATAAGCTTGTCAGCACCAATCTGATGTTGGTGATGAAATAATTTTAATTAAAACCGTATGTATACATACATAACCAGTGTTAAAATGGCAGCTAAATTTATATGTACAAATAATTTGTAGCATAGTTGGTTGAGACACTATGCTATAAGACATAAAGTCATGGGTTTGATTCCCAATGAAGTCATTGGATTTTTCAATAGACCTAATTCTTCCAGCCGCACTATGAGCTTGGGGTCAACTCAGCCTCTTAACAGAAATGAGTACAAGGAATTTTCCTGGTGGTAATGGCTGGCCGGTGTGTAAGGCTGACAGCCGCACTGCCATCTGTGAGCCGGTTGTCTAGAAAATGTGGGAGCCTTGACATCTCACATACCTGTGGGCCTCCACTGCCTGTTACAGACAGTTTTACTAATAATATTAATCAAAACCAACATATCATCTGTGAACAGAGAGGAAGGAGGCAAGTGGTTGGTAGAAGTGATCGACTTTGACCACTGTACTGTTCCTTTAGGGACACACTGGACTTCAGTGTTCCACTGGCATGGGTAAGAGTTATCCAGAATTCATACTGATGTGTTCAGCTTGTTCTGTATATGCTGGCAAGCCTTGGTAATTGCAGTCTTCTCTCCTCTGGAGGATAGTGCATCTCCAACTATAATTTTAAGTAGAGAGCTATGCAACTTCATAATATGATGTATACTTGAGGCGCTTCAGATGCAACGACATTTCTTATCATTTTATCACTTAATTAAATATCTGTAATCCTTGTGGAATATCGTCATTCTTTGTGGCTGATCATTCCAAGCAAGTTTATGTATTGTATCTCTTCCTTTCCAGGTGTTCAGTTCTTTGCCTTCCATGGTCAGTTATTCAGCACTCTGTTAAAGATCTTGTATTACTTGTCAAACATCCACACTTCTCTCATTATCTAATAACGTATAGCCTGAGATTAAATATTAATTTATAACATAGAAGTAAAGTAAAGTAAAGTAAAGGTATCCCTGTAACAGGCCGTGGAGGCCCATAGGGTTGTGAGATGTGGAGGCTCCCACATTTTCTAGACAGTCGGCTCATGGATGGCAGTAAGTTTGTCAGCCTTATGCGCCAACCGCCCTTTACCCCCAGGAAGATTCCTTGTACTCATTTCTGTTAGAGACTGAGTCGACCCCAGGGCCATAGTGCAGCTGGAAGGATTAGGTCAATTGAAAAAATCCACCTCATCGGGATTCGATCCTGCAACCTTCCAGCTTGTAGCATCGTGCCTCAACAACTACGCTACCATGTGCCCCCTAATTTATAATATAGTAGAAAGTAAAGTACCACTACTGTAGTATTCATGAAGACTTGCTACTGGATTCAGCAGAAGTTTAACAGGCTTGAAACCTTATCTTAAGCCTTTCTTTGCAGGTTGAAATTCGAACAGCGTGGTAAGGAAATAAATGAGAGTAAGAAGGGAATTGAAGAAATGGTTCAGCATCTGAAGACCCAGTTGGATGAGAGGGATGTGACGATACAGGAACTGCAGAAAGGGCTTCAGCACCACCAGTCGCCTGCCAAACTAACAGAACTCCAAGAAATGAAAGAAAATGTAAGTTACAGCCCTGCAGTGTTTAATTGGTGAACTCCAAGACACGGGGTTCTTGGGAAATAGTCACTTAGCTAGTAAAAAATTCTATTGTCCTCCCAGGAACCATTCTACCAAAACTTTTGATTTAGATCTGCTGAATTGCGGTATTATTAGGACAACTAGTAGATGTATTCGTAATGTGTTACAGTAGAACCCCAATTTTGCGACCTTTGGTTATCTGACATTCTGTATTATCCGACATGACTCAAGCGCCCACAAAAAGCTGTCAGTGATGTAATGGAGAGAATCTAGAAATTACTGTGTATGTATGAAAGTTTAGTTTTACACTTTTTATGTTGTTCTTACCAGCTAAATATTATTTACATTCTGTTATTTTACAATACTGTTATGAACCAAGTTGTGTTGATATTTGTGTCATGTTTTTAATGTTATTCTTACTATCCAACATTTTTGGTTAAGTCAACTGCCCTTTAGTTCACTTTAGGTTGGATAATCTGGGTTTTACCATATATGAATTTAATATGTCAGATTATATGTTTACCATGTACTGACCATGCATTGTGATAACACATGAGCAGTCCAGCTGGCTGAATATTGCATTTTTCTGAGTGTCAGTACCCTCAGGTTAGAAGTTGGCTACTAGCCTATAGTACCAGAGGATTTTAAATTCCTCTTTGAGGCCATTCAAGGTTAATGCTTGTGTTTTAACCATACAGTGTAACTTCAGTTGTACTGATGAGTGCCTTCTTCAAGGATGTAACACTGAACAGTCTGGTAGAAGTTTACCTTTCTTATGGATGAATGTTGACAAACTTGGACCGGTATGTTACACCCCAGTCATTACCATGAGAACTTCAAAACTTTGAATCTCTCAATATACAATATACGAGTATAACTGAATTTTTCCTTGCAGGTAAACAGTTCGGTTGAATCTTCAGGACAAACACCAGAAGAAATTTCCACACAGACTGCAAATAGAGACAACAAGATTACTGAGCTAAACAACAGAATTGCAGAATTGGAGACAACCATCCTCGACTTGCAAGAAAATTTTCGTGAAAAGGATTCTGTGATCGATGCACGAACCAAAGCAATTACACTGATGTCAGAAGACTTCTCAAGGAGAAACAAGATAACGTTAGATAATCTGGAAGAGACACGAGAAGAGATGAGAAAAATGCAAAGTAACTTTGTAACACAAGAAGGAAAAATGAAAGAAGAGAATGAAAGACTAAAAGAGGAGTTAGCAGCTAAGGATCATAGGTAAGAATGAAAGGTTGATGGATTCATAGTTTCTCCTTATTGACATTGTCTCAATTGCAAAACAAAACAAACAAAAAACTGTGGTTCTAGTCTGCAAGTGAACTATACCGACCATGCAATCGCCACTTGTCAGTGAAGTTAGTGCCAACCTTAGCAGAGAGAGGGTATTGCATGGTCAGTGCATCAAATCCCCACAGCTGTTAATTTCGGTTTTCTAGACTGGAACCGCTGTTTCCTTGAAATAGCTCCTCAGTTGTCCTTGCAAGGCTGAGTGGACCCTGTTTCAGATCAACTACTTCTCAGAAAATCTGGTAGCATCAGGAATCGAACCTGGACCTCTGGAACTGTAGCAAGGAACTCTGACCACTAGACCACAGAGGTGGTATTGTCTCAATTGCATGTCATCAAATTGGAAAAGGATTGGGTGTGAAGCAGGAACCTTTTCCCCTGCCAGTTATTATCCCACCAACATTTCATACTCATCAGTCACCACTTGTGAGATGTGCAATTGGCCTTATCAGTCATGCATTATATTTTATGATTTATTTAATGATGGTGTCTGTATTTACAACTGTAGAGCTTTGAATGGTAAGATGATCAGCGAATAATGAATGGGGAAGGCTATGGAAGGCAGCAGTTGTGGCATAATTTGAGGTACTATCCCACATAGAGGGACTGAGAAAAACTACAAAAACAGACAGAATAGTTGGTGTCCTGACTTAGATTTAAACAAGCCCCTCTACAAAGTGTCAAGTGTTACCAGTGGAGCCAACTCATTGGGACTTGGGGAAAGTAAGTCTGTAAGCAATTCTGTACATGTTACAATATGTTGCAGGTTGCATCACTTGGAAGACAGTGTTAAGAGTCTGGAATCTATTCGGTTTGACTTGAGTACTAGAAACGCTGGACTGCAGGAGAAGGTGGTGAAAGTTCAGGAACAGTTGAAGGGACTGCAGGAGAGGCCTCCGGAAGAGCAAGACCATACAAGGGTAGAGGACCTGACTCGCCAGCTCGATGATGCCAATAAGCAAATCATGAAATTGAAAGCTCAACAGAAGACCAAAGTGAAGAACCTCAATAAACAGCTAGACGAACTAAGGAAGGTAAGAAATGGTGCACGTTCTGAGGTTTTCACAGTGCCGAGTTTTAAAATTGAGATCTCTTGGATTGTGACACCGTGTTCTCTTGTAGGCAGATACCAACTTTTCAGAGGAACATAGCGTTGAAGCGTATAAGATGTGGAATCAGTTCAGCTGTCTGTACTCACAATTCCACCTTCCCCCCTTTAACAGAAAAAATACTTAGGCCCTGAAACAGACCATTCTCCTGTCTGCTTGTTCCCATTTGTCTGGAACAGGTTAATTATCCCCTCCTGTGGACATCATTGACCACCTCTGTTGCTACCACCATGTATCTCTGAGCCAGTTCCTCACCCCATTCTCTTCTGTACTGAAGATGGAGACAGCATGTTCCTCCAGAACATCAGTATCAACCTACAAGACTTCACAGTGTCACAGAGCTCAGTTATGGTGGCATCGGAATCTCATTACACTTGACCCACAATGTACAAATGGGATACGTTCCAAGGCCCCATTCATCAGTCAGGTCATTCTATAGTCAAAACAGTGCTCGTGGAGAAGGGGAGGTACAGCTTCACTGTTCTTGAACTCAGCACTAAATGCAGGCGAGTGGTCACCTTCACACCCAAACCACATTAGCCCCCAGAGGAAGAGCCCTTGGTACCCATTGGATATGAGGCTGGGTGGGACCAAGAGTCGATGTGGACTCTGGTGTAGAGAAAAATCTCTTGCCCCTACCAGGATTCAAACCCTGCCTCTCTAACCCTGTAGCCCTTCACTGTACTGAACTAAGCTGTCCACCTCCAACCAGTGCTGAGGTAAAGAATGCATGGAGCTATTAATCCACTTCTCTGTATGTCTTAGTGGTGTGGTGCTTAATGAATTAAGTACTGGGATAACTTTACCTTTACTCTAACACACATGTCTTTACAACAATACATAGTTTGGTATGCTATGAAAATATCAGTCTAAGCATTAGTGTTCTGTATGTTGGAAAGGTTGTGAGCTGTTACTGTGACTTACTTTTCCTTCCTTCATTCATTTTGTCCATTGATTGGTTTCTTTCACCCATTTCTTCCCTCATTTTTTCTACCTTTTGTACCTACCTTTCTGTTTCTTCCTCTGATTTCACACCGAGTGTTCACAGTTGAATGGTTTGTGTTCTGGAGATTCCAGGTTCAAATCTCAGCACAGAGACTGTGTATCATGAGATGTTTTTCATTTTCCTGCTTTCTTCTAGACAAATTGCAGTATAGTACAGATGACTCGCATTATACACATTTTCACATATCCACAGCTGTGTTTCAGTGCCAAGAGGATCTTCATCATATCTGCAGCCAAAGTAAAAGTTGCCACGCATGCACAGTGCATTTTGGTGACAGTTTTCCCTAACTCACCCCACCATTTTGACTGCATTTTTCCTGCTCGTCCACTGTGCTCAGTGTTCATTCTGTGTATTTCGCACTCTACATGTTTTCTATATATGCAGCAATTTTCAGGAACACAGTCCAGCACCTCTAATGAGAGTTGTCACCTATACCTGAAATTATGTGAGAACTGCTTCCATTCCAGTTTGTTATTCACTTATCATCCCATCATTCAGTGCCGTGTAGTCTGAGTTACTGACAGCGTCAACACAGTAGCATTTCCACAAAGTGATAAAGGTGATAACTGCTTACAGTAAAACCTGAAAATGTGATTGTTCTGTTACCAGATGTCTGATGCCAGTGAGGAGATTATGAAGCTTCAGAACAGAGTTGCTGAACTAGAAGAGGACAAAGGTAACCTACAGTTACATCTGGTAGACTTTGATGAATTGAAAGGTAAAATTTCACAACAAAATTCTGGTTCTATCATTCTGTTGCACCACTGTGCTGTGGTTAGTTGTGGTGCTGGTATATATTGATAAGACATCGTGAAAATGTTGCATCATAAGTAATTTACCACAGATAACCCAAAAGAAAAGTATTTTAATCTTCAGAAGTAGTCGTAACATATAGCCGTTGCTGATCCAGTACATACTGGAGGAATGTAGCATCGAATAGAGAAGAATGGCGAGCAATCCTGAGGAAGGCCAGGGCTGACAAAGGGCTGTCATGCCAGTGATGATGATGATGATGATGAGGAGGAGGAGGAGGAGGATTATGATGATGATGATGATGATGATGATGATGATCCAGTACATGTCAATTGGTAAAATCAGACGCCAATTTTGCATTTTACTCCAAAGGAACACTTTGAGACCTCATGCTTCCTATGACCTTTCACCGCTCCTACCATTCTGCCCATTCTTTTGTTACTTCAGTGCTAAGATCTTGGAGCTTCAAACAGCATAGTTTAGTAATCCACAAAATGGTTGTCATTAGGCAGGTACAAGAATGATTGTGACAAGTGCTTCGAAAAATGTTGACAATTGACATGAGGATGAGAGTTTTCTCTCTGAGCAAAGATTTTTTCACTGTAATCACAATTTATAAAACCAACCACTTTTTCACAGTTCACTAAAATGTAAAACCCCTTTTGATATCAAATCATTTTACAGTGATAAATTTTCATATTTACAAAAATAAATTCTTGGACCATGTCCTTTTTTACCATATAAACATTAAGATATATGGCCTGTATTATTCTTTATATTGATATTTAATGATATGCAATAAAGAATTTTGAATTGGCCACAAGCTGGATGATCAAGGAATAAGGGTTCAATCCCCAACAGGGGCAAAAGATTTTTCTCTTCTCCAGGCCAGCTCTGGGACCCACCCAGCCTCCGATCTGAAGGATGCCAGAAGTAAAATGGCCAGGGCATGAAGGTGATCACTCACCTATATCCGGTTCCAAGGTTAAGAATACGTAGCTATGCATCCACTCCCCCACAAGTCTTAATGGCGTGGTTATTAAGGACAGGATACCTCCACCCCAATTTTTATAAAGAAAAAATAATTTGTGATTCTAAACTGGGTGATTTGCTTTGTAACAATCAGTGTGTATCTGCAATAAATGAACATCAAAGGCAGTGATGTATATGAATGTCAAAGAATATATCTGGAAATATGTGTGCTCCAGTTGGGGGTGTACAATTCCACTCGTGTTAATTACAGTTAGATGGGTTAACTGTGGTGGAAACATGTAACATTTTCCATTTGAATGTCAACTGGAGGAAGGAAAGAAATATTTTGGCTTTTCTGTTGTGAGTTTTCTAACGTGGCATACATGTAGCGCATTATCATTGATGTATGAGATCATGATTTTAATATGCCATTTGGTAACAGTGATTTCTCCTTCAGTTTGTGTACCAAGATCGCTGTGTTTGAAGCGTGTTACAATTTTATATCACTACTCTTTTGCAGTTGCGTCACTCTAGACAAATTCTAGGATAATGTCTCAGATTCAGCCACACTCACTTCCTTCAGCATTCTTTCCAATTTGTTGTTCATTAGCTGTCTTACTGTTTAACACTGTGTATACTGAGCTATTCACAGCATCATTAAGCAAACCATAAAAAAATACTTTTTTCTTTCTCCTCTCACTGCCACTTTTGGAGATTAGGGCTGATTTCTCAGTTTCACAATCATATTTAGAAACGGTAGGACAGAATACACGCATACACACACCAAACATCCATGCCTTTTGTGGGATCAGAACCCACGATCCCGGCTTCCAATCAAACAAAGACAGTGCATGCCTTAAATTGCTCGGCTACTGTGACCGGCAAATAAATAGAGTAGATGTGTGAAATTTACCTTGCTAAATGTTTATAAATGTGTGAAATTTACCTTGCTAAATGTTTATAAACACATCTGCAGTGGTATGAATGAACAAGTGGCATTGAACCTCACAGTGCCTAATGCTTTGAAACCTTTAATGTACCTTGAACAGTAAGTACTTGTAATACTTGTATATATATGTACCAGTTTCATATATTGAATCTGCTGTTTGGTACATGTTTCTAACTTACTCCTTGGCTGTATAGCCCTCTAAGAACCTTGGGTGCCTTTACAGCAACTGCCTGTTCTTCTCTAATATTATCCTTTTGTTGCAGTCACTTTCAGCTCTCTGAAGGCATAATTCAGTGTCCACATGATTTTTCCTTAGTCATTTCCTTAAATTATCAATCCAGAATCCAGTGTTATGTTTCATAACATATTTTTCTTTTTTAAATGATGATGTTGGCCTCGTGCTTAACCCCCAACCTGGTGGACCAATAACTAACTTTAGTCTGTCCCCTGCCCTCTGACTTCTCTTGCCTTTTGCCTCATTTAAAAATTTTCTTAGCTTCCCTTCTTTGATCCATTATAATCATATGCACCAATCACTACAATAAACATCTGCTGCCAGATCAGAGCTTTTATATAATTCCCCCTATTCTCAGTTGATTCTTCAACCCCCTTGCTCAGTTACTGATCCACACACCTTCAGCAGTGTGTTCCTCTCATACATATGTAACATAGCGTTGTCCTTTTCGTTCGGCTTGGTACATGTACTGAAGGGGAAGTGTTCAGATGGCTGTAAGTTGCAGGTTGCTCTTATGCATGCCCTGTAGTGAGTAAGGCTTGAGTTGTGTGGGTTGCTCTGTAGTTATTAACAAGTGCAGGTGAAGAAACTTACAGCTGGTGGATGTTGGATGCATGGTGTTCAAAGGGTTTGAAAGTGATGAAATGGTAAGAATGTAATTTCTACAGAGGGATGTCGCAAGTGGGAGTTCTCACACTCTTCCCCTCCAGTGATGGACTCTCTTGATTCTGTTACAAGACTGCTACATTGGACATAATGCATTGTACAGTGTTTTTATTTTATATACACGGCAAGTTTGGAACTGGCTTTCAGTAATAAATAAGCCTTAAAAGGGACTACATTAAAAGGGTTTAATCCTCCCTTCTAATTCTTTATGAATTAGCAATAAAAATTTGTAGAAGTGTGCCTATGATCTTCACCATGCCTGCCCATCTGTCTTGTCTCATGTAACAACTTGAGAAATGCTGAATGTATTTTCATGAAATTTGGTATGGAAGAGTTTTGCTAAGAGTTGTTGACACACTCCAGTTTCAGTTAAAATCCGATAAAAATAACAGACACTTTACATGGAAGCCTAAATGTGTTTCTGAGCTTCACATATAACTCACCCTAAACTTGGTAAATATTTGTTGAAGCAAAAAATGTTTGAAACAATAGTTTTATAGTAAATTGAAACACAGATTTTATGTCCAATACAATTTTTGTATAAGTTTTAGTGTTTCATGAGCTGGAATAACTCAGTCAGTATAGAGAACGGGCTGTATGGCCAAGGGGTTGGAGTTCAGGTCCCAGTAGGGTGAAGATTTTTCTCCTCTCCATGTTGTCCAGAGTGGTTCTGGAGCCCAGCCAGCCTCCTACCCAATTGGTACCAGCGGCTCTGTCTGGGGGTGGGGGATTGAAAATTGGCAGGAGTGTGAAGCTGACCACTCACCTCCAATTAGTGACGAGGTCAAGAACATGTGGATCTATACATCCACTCCCCCATATGTCTTCATGTTATAATTAATTAAGTACAGGTACAACTTTACGTCGCCAGTCACGGCAGCCGAGTGGTATAAGGCATGCAATGTCTTTGCTCGCTCGGAAGCCGGGATCGTGGGTTCGAATCCCACTCGGCATGGATGTTTGTGTGAGTTTTTCTGTGTTTGTGTACAGGTAGAGGCCTTGCAACGAGCTGATCACTCGCCCAAGGAGTCCTACCGAATGTGTAAGATCTAGTAAACCGAAGTGAAACGGAGAGTTTCATGGAGGTAGGCCTAGGCCCAAATTGGGGCTGTAGCGCCACAGAAAAAAAAAGAAGAAAAAAACAACTTTACGTTAGCTTTAATGTTTTCAGAAAATTTAACAGAAGGGATCAGATGTGTGTACGTTTCCTGCTTGTTAAGTGCTGCCAACATCTCTGTATGATACTTTCCATTGAGCCAGTTCTTGCCTCCGTGTCATACAGTCTCCTTTCCAGTCATATTTATATTCCTTGGTTATGGGATTGCTTCTGCTTAACCAGAATTTTTACAGACTTAGACCCCTTGTAGCCCGCTGCTTTTGTCCAGAATACTTGCCATCTCTTTGCTGAAGGACTGGGATTGCTGTCTTCTGTTACATCACTGTCATGGTTTTATTTATTACCATGATTCCAGCAGGCAGCCATCTTACATTTGTGAAATGGCATTCCTTGCTTTAAAGAGGACTACAGACTGTGATGAATCAGTATTTAAAAGGAAAGTTTCTTTATGTAGCCTGAATTGTTCTCTGTCAGTACCAGATTTGTGAGAACCATCTACCAACTGTTATCATTTTGGATGATCTGTGACTGTAAGCCACACAGGCAGTTGCTAAATCTGGCACTGCATTGAAAATATAAAATTATGGCCTGCTGGAATGTGATGCAGCCTTGTTCGATAAATGTTTAACAACGCTTTGGAAGAACCTGCTGGCTTTGTCTTTTATCCTGAAGATGAAGACAGAATGTTCCTTGAAAACTTTGGTACCTGTCTACTGGACTATTGTGCATCACGTCCCTGACGACCAATAATTTAATATTCACTGCCATGAGAACCTCAGATCTCACAGAGGCATCAGAAGTATCCAGATGAATCTCTCAGTATGTTAATATAGCTTTTTGTCGTTAGAAAAGTGGAGATTTGATTTTGTTGTTGCAGTAAATATGACATATTTCTGTCAGAATTTGTAATTTAACTATTGATTTTAGCATGAACCATGCTTATGATTTACTGTGACTGTGAAGAGTTCTGTCTTCTGGGACATAATGCAATGAAGTCCAATGAACATCAACTTTGGTTAGACTTCCAATGGACTACACGGTATTATATCCCAGAAGATATAACTCTTCATAACCACTGCTGTGAGAAACTCAGGTCCTATATACCTTGAATATGTTCATAAATTGAAAAGTTTGGTGTCATATTAAGTCACACACCTAGGATAATGTGGTCACAACAAAAAGAAGTTAATAAAACAGTTTCATTGCACTGTTTGGAACAATTAATTACAGTTGGTCTAAATTAGTTGATCACATTGAAATGAAATCACATTTCCAAACTCACATTTAACAGAGAATACTTGTACACAGTATGAAACTTTGAACTTCTGCAGTTTATATTTTAGTTTTTTGAGTTGCAACTGAGTTATTCCAGGTGTGACATAAAAAATCCTCTCCTGTTTTTTTGTAGATTGGTCTGTAATCCGCAAAAGTCTGAACACCTTTTATAACAGTAGTTCTAATTTTGAAGGGCACAGATGAAAATTAGAATAACGAAATATTCTTGATCTATCAGCTGTGTCAGTTAAGAGTCAAAACCCAACATTTCAAAGACCTCTGTCCCCGTTATCAAGAAATGATGAGAACAGATGGTCTTTGGAACTTTAGATGTCAGCTCTAAAGTAATGTGGTTTCTTCTCTTGGGGTGGGGTGAGACTGAGCCCACTAGGTATGTCAGTCACTAACTGGCCTATTGTACCAGCCCTAGATGACAGATGATGAGTGTGGAGCAGTCAGTGGAATGAGAATTGGCAGGGGAAACTGAGGTACTCAGAGAAAAACCGCCCCAGTGCCACTTTGTCCACCACAAATCCCACACGACCTGCCCTGGGCTCAAACACAGGCCACCACAGTGGGAAGCCAGCAACTAACTGCCTGAGCTATGGCATGGCCTAGTAACATGGTTAATCCCTCGAGAATCACTTTCAGTTTTCATCAGAGCTTCAAGCCTGGGAAGTTAGCATGTTTTCTTTCTTGTTTCTGTAGCTGTATATTTACAATCATTGCTGCACTAACAGCAGTCGCAGTGTGATGTGTACATTCAGTTTCAGAGGCACACTGGCGGACAAGGGTGCTGGAACTCGAGGAACGAGTCTTACAGCAGAGTCAGGATCTTGACAGTCATGTGCATATGATAGCATTGCTTGAAGCAGAGAAGCTGGATAACATGCAAGGTGAGTGTATGTTTCCCTCGTGAAAATTGAATGACTTCGTTTTCTTCAAACTTGTTATGAACTTTGTGCTGTGGGTTGTTGCTCAGATATGGAATTTGTTAAATCCCACTGAAAATCATGGTCAGATAGGTAGCACTCCTGTTCCATATTCAGAAGTTCCTGGGTTCAAATCTTGGTCCAGAAACCAGATATCCTGACCTAAATTTTTCTAGGTTTTCCCCATTCTTTCCAAGTAAATCCTGGGATAGTTCTTCAAATTATGTCACAACTGCTTCCTTTCAAATCCTTTCCAATTCATTATTCACAGATCATCCTCCCCTTGACAGTATGTATTGACCCTCATGAACCTTTGACTTGCTGCCATCTGAAATGCTGGACACCCCCTTTTATAAAACGTTCTGTCTTCTGGGATATAATGCCATGTAGTCTGTCACCTCCATTGGGCTCAGAGAATAAGCCAAGCAAGGAACCAACATGAAAGCAGGTAGCAGGCATAGCCACCTGCTTTCATGCTGGTTTCTTGCTTGGCTCATTCCTTGACCCTGAAGATGGAGGTGACATGTTCCTCCTAAATATCGGTTGACTTTCAACAGACTGCACAGCATCGCATGCAGAACTGTTCATACCCAACGCTATAAGAACTTCAAATCCTACCTCACTTTGTAGGCTGGGCCCATTGTTTGAAGTGACAAGCCCTGCGGTGGGGTCTGGCGACCAACACAGTTACTACCACAGTTCTCCATTAATTATATATACATTTGTTAGTTGCCAAATTGAACAAAGGATGTCACTGCTGTATCTTCCCAAGAGTGCCAAGTCAGCTGGAGAGCAGCCTGTAGTATCTGGAAGCCCAACAAGCTGCTCTCTGTCCATGGGTGACTAGCCTGGTTCAGTATGCTGATCTGTTATATGTGTTATTTCTCAGCTCCTCGGCTTCAGTGGGTTGTTGAACATCCACTGATCTGGTCTGTCCTGGGGCAGTGTGGCTCATATCCACTGCAGAATTCTGGTGGAACATCTTAGAACATGTCTGCCCTCTTGATCATGGCACAGTGCTGTGGACCACTATTAAGTAAACCATAAACAAATAAATATAATATGCAACACCCTAATTTCATTTTTGTGTGTTTTTACAGTTATCCATTTTGAAAAGGAGAAAGTTTCTAGTTTAGAAACTGAAATAGAAAGTCTGAGATCATCTCTACAGGATCTGGAGAACCAGAAAGTGTCACTGGAGATGAAAACAGTGGATTTGGAAGAGCAAATTGACACCCTCATAAAAGAAAAGGCAGAACTTATAGAGGAGGTAGAAATGATGTCACATGAGAGACAAGGACTTGCAGCTGAACATCCCATTGCTAGAAATAGGGAGAATAATTCTGACACAAAGAAATTGTTCCAGAGTGTGGAACTTGTGGAAGGACAAGAGGAGGAAAAACAGTTGCCAGCTGACACTGGAGAAACCGAGACTATGAATAAATCTTTACAGCAGTTAAAGGTTGAACTTCTCAGTACAAATAAGGTAATAGAAGAGCAGAAGGAAATAATCATGAACTTAAAATGCAAGATAGACTCACGTGATGAGGAGTTAGAAATGCAGAATGAAATAATTAAAAAGTTGGAGCATCTCAGTGGAGACTACAATGACAGAGATGATAGGATAGCAGAGATAGTAAAAGAACTTAGTGAAATGGCGGGTGACCTTGAAGAGTGGAAAACAAGATGCACAGAAGTGGAGAAGCGCCTGCAAGATTTGGGCAATGAGAAGATGGAATTAGAAGAACGTTTCAAAGAGATTAAAAGTGAGAATTCGGTGTTAAATGAAGAACTCACTAAGCAAAGAGAGGTTGCTAATGATCTAGCATCTAAATTGAAAGAGCAAAGTAATGCCATAACTGGTCGAGATGAAAGAATATCCTCTCTGCAGGGTTTGATAGAACAGAATGGCCAGACTTTGGAAGCGAGGGAAATGACTCTTAAAGATGTACATGAGAAGCTTAACAATGTAGAAAAACAATACGAGTTAAGACTGTCAGAGCTGAAATTGACACTAGCAAACAAAGAGAGGGAATTACTAGATATGACATCGGCTTTGATGCAACAGGAGATCATCTTAAAAGACAAAGAAACTGACATTACGGAACTCAGTGAAACTTTACAGAAACAGAGCCATGAGTTTGCATATCTCCAGCAACACCTGTCAACTGTTGAGAAAAATGTCTTTCTTCAGTTCCGTGCACAGTTAGATGAAATGTCAGTGACCCTTGCAGAAAAAGATCAGTTGAACCATCAGCTTGTTGAAGAATGCCAGAAATATAGGCAGCAAATTGAGTCACTTACAACAGAGCTCTCAGATAAAGTTCAAGTTATCGCGAGACTCGAGACACAAACTGAAAAGTTCAAGGAAGTGGAACTACAGTTTCAGTCAGCAGTATCAAATCTGAAATCCTGCGAAGAAGAGTTAAGCAACCTGAAACAAGAACTTGTATTAAAACAATCTGAGGTTGAAGAAAAAACAGATAAACTGAAACAAGTTGAAGGGAGAGTAACAGAGCTTATTGAAAAGAATAAAAAGTTTATTGCTAATTTGAAAGCCAAGGCTGTTGCCCTAAAAGGACATGAGCAGAAGTTACAGCAGTATGAAGCAGTGGTACAAGCTAAAGAGAAGTTGATTTCGGAGCTGACTGCCGAGAACGAGGAGCTTTTGAAACGTCAAGCTGATAAGACAGACTTGGAGCAACAGGTGAACACAATCGCTATATTAACAAAGGAAGTGAACGAGGAACGGTCAAGGACTGAATTGATTGGTGACGAACTGGCAAAGGCAACTGAGAAAATTGTAAGTCTTGAAAGAGAATTGAAGTTATCAGGATTTAAGTTAGATGAAATGAATTTAATGAAAGACACCTATGAGGCAATGACCAATAAGGTATCAGAGCTAGAACATGAGATCAATACAATTCAGATGGAATTAAGAAACAGCGCTGATCGCATTATGTTGCTGGAAAAAGATAACATTAGATTAACGGAAGAAAGAAAAGCAAAAGAACAACAGGAGGAAAAGAAGAGTTCATTGCTACAAGACAAAATTAAAGAGCTTAAAGCAGAGTTATTGAAACAAACAGAAGAACTGGAAAAACTAAAGGCAGAGAAAAATGAGCTTTTGCAACAGGTGTTGAGTTCCAGTGATTCTATAGCAAAAGCTAGCGAGCTTGAGGAACAGGTTAGGATTAGGGACCAGAGATTAGCAGAATTTGAAGAACAGTTGATGTCATCATTTGAACTAAATAAACAGTCATTATCAGCAGTTGAAGCAAAATTGCAAGAACGTGAAGCTGTGGTCGAATCCTTGGAACAGGAACTTTCGAAAGCTACAGAGAGAGTTGAGCACTTGGAAGAAGGGTTAGCGTTTGCCGAGGAAAGATGTCAGTCACTTGAGAGCAAAGTGGAGGCTTTAAGCATTAGGCTGCAGGAGTCTGACCGAGTGAAAGAGGAGGTGGTTGAGAGTGAGGAGATGCTGGAACAGCGCCTGACAGTTCTTATTGGAAGTGAAGAAAGCCTGAAGAGGAAGCTCGAGGTTCTAAGTGTGGAGAATGAAGAATTAACACTGAGGATTGCTGAACTGACCAAAGAAAATGGGGGCCTACAGAAGGAGATTATGAATATAGAGAGTACCGTGAAAGAGTTGCAGAAAGAACTGGAGAGACTGTCACCTTTTGAATATTCATTTGTGCAGGCATCAGAAAAAGCTGAGGCATTGCAGGCAGAATTAAAACGTGCCATAACAGAACTCGAGCATCGAATGAAAGAGAAAGTTCAGGAGGTGCAGCAACATGCAGAAAATCTGGAAACAGACTTAAGAAATGTGAATGTACAATTAGAACATGCAGAGTTGGAAAAAAGAACTCTGATCGAACAGTACGAGAAACTGAACGATGTGAAGGTGAGGTTAGAAGATGAGGTTGAGAGGCTTAGCCACATACTGGAGGTTCACAAGCAAGCAATTTCAGATCTCAAGAAAGAGCTTCAAGAAAAATTATTTATATTTGAAACTACCATTTCAGAGAAAGAAGTGGCAAGAAAAGAACTTGAAGAACGAGTCCAGATGCTTGAAACAGAACTGCAAGAGAAAATGTCAGGATATGAAGAGAAAGAACGTGCTGCCAGCGATATGAATGTGAAGATACATCTGTTAGAAGAAGAACTGAAGGTGATGACTTCTGCAGTTGATACAGCAACTTCAGAGAAGGAAGAGATAAAGAACAAGCTGAATGAAAGAATTGCTTTACTAGAAAAAGAACTTGAGGGAGCAGTGTTATCATTTGAAAGTGCTTCTTCAGAGAAAGAGAAGGTACATTGTGAACTACAAGAAGTTCTTCAGTTTCAAGAGGCTGAACTGAAGCGATATCAGCACATGCTTGAAGTTATGCAGTCCCCAACTGAAACAGACTCTAATGTTAGTAGAGTGGATTCTGAAGAACAAGTTGCTAGTTTAACTGCAGAACTGGGTCATTTAAAGTCAGTTCTAACACAGAAAGTTAATGAAATTAAAAGTTATCAGACTCGTTTACTGCAGTTACAGTTCAAAAATGTTCCAGATGACGAACATGATGATCATCCATATTTACAAGCCAAAGTATCACACTTGGAAGATTCCAACATAAAATTGCTGGAAATAATACACATTAAGGAGGTACAGATTTCAGACCTGAGCACAGCTGTGGCTGCTTCAAGTACAGAGCTTGGACAACTCCGGTCTGAGCTCAAGAGCTATCATCATAGAGTTGAGGAACTCACGAAACAAGTAAATATTCTCCAACAGGAGGCTATGAATAAAAATAATTATATTCAGCAATTGCAGATGACATTGGCTGAAACAGAAGTTCAGTTCCCCTCACAGGTAGAGTCCGCAACGCAAGAATCCAGGTTAAAGCTATCAGCTCTGGAGAAACAGAACAAGGAACTGTTTAAGGAGCTACTGAAGGTAAAGGCACAACATACGGTTGCAGACATTGTCAGAGTTGCAGAGGAACATGTTCAGAATATGAGCACAGCATTGGAGGACCCTGATCACGGGCATAAATCAGTAACATTGCAGCAAACTGTACAGGAGCAGTCAGACTCCTTTGGAACTGAAGATCGGATAAAGGAATTGGAAGAAGAATTGCAGTTAATACAGTCAGAAAGAGATGAAGCTTTACTGAAGATCACAGAGCTTGCATCTAAAATACCTCCAACATCTGGTGATACAGTCCTGATATTTGAACATAATGCTCTAGTCAAGGGTAGTACTGAAGTCAGCACACCATGGCAGCAAATGAACATATCACAGAACTTGCGTAAGATTGAACCTTCTGTGGCTCAGGACAGTTCGGTGGCTGTGGCCCCACAGGATGTGGCACCAGAGACAGTTTTGAACCTCAGCTCATCAAACTGGGATATGGGCATAGAGGGTGAAGAGGAAGGGTGGGGGTGGGGTTCCGACGAAGCACGGCTCGAAGAAGAACACATACGGAAACAGCATGAGACTGTCTTGTATTCAGAACCTTCAGATGTGTTAAACGATCGCATCGTTACCTTAGAGAACCACATCAAGGATGTTATAGCCGAAAAGGAGAAACTCAGTGAAGAACTGCACGCTGCACAAGTTCGCAGCGGGAAAATGCTGAAGAAGTTAAAGGACTTGAAACTAAAAAATGACAGTTTGTTGAAGGAGAACATAGAATTGGCAAAGAAAAGTGGCGATAAGAATTTTGGCGATCTTGATCAAGCCATTGAAGAAGAACTTAAAATCCATATCGATAATTTGGAGAAAGAACTTGAGGAAGTGCGAAATGAAAAGGATTCTGCTTGTGGCGAGAAGGAAAGACTGGAGAGTCACATTGACATGCTGACGTGTGCCAATGATAGATTAGTGGAGATGAAAGAAAGGCAGGACATTGATATCGAGATGTGGAAACAAAGGAATAGAGATCTGAGCAATGAAGTGCAGTCACTAGAATGGAGAATAGGGGAACTGATGGAAGAAAATAAATCTGTAACAGAATCTAGTACACAGGGGAACCACAGTGAAAGAGAATCTTTCTTCTCATGGGATAAGCATGCCTTCACTTCCAATAGTAGAAGTTTCATGGATACCGAGTCAACAAATAATGAACTTCAGGAGCAGCTGGCAGCTTTGTCAGCAGATAATGAAAATCTTCAGAGACTTATAGAAGAGCAAAGGAACTTGAGGTTGGCTGCAGAAGTGGAGTTGCAGAAAATACAGCAGAGAAAGTCACAAACAGACACTGAAATGCAGTTTTGTTCAGAAGAAGGTAGTAATGTAAAGGAACATTCAGATGTAGTGACAGAGTACAAGACTGTGGAGGAATTAAAACAAGAATGTGACAGGCTCATGGAAGAGAAAAACAACTTTCAGAATGCTTACCATGCTCTGAAAACGGAATATGACCGCATGTGTACAGAGTCAGAGCAGTATGTAGTTGCAACTGAAAAAAAATATGAGGCGGTTCAGTTTGAGTACACAAAGAAAATAGAAGATGTTTGTGATGAGAAGATTAAAATTGAAGAATATTACAGAAATGTACTGAAAGAACGTGATCTATTGGCTGAAGAGTTACAGCAACTCAGTACAAACTTGGCAGATTTAACTCAGAAACATAAGACTCTAGAACAGGAATACAGCAATATAAAGGAACATTTGACCATGCAAGAGAAAGCATTAAGTTTTGAAAACGAACAGAAGTGTGGCCTAGAACGTGAGTTAGCTCATCTCATATCACAAATGGAAAGTAACTCTCTGGGGTTAACTGACACATCTGAGTTATTGCATAAGCAGCAGATGAGGATTTCAGAACTGGAAATGGAGTTACAAGGCAAGACCGAAGAGATAGAAAAGTTGCGCCAGTTGATTGAGAACCAGAAACTTGAACAAGCCCAAGGTGAACAGGAATGGAACAGCAAGTTAGAACATTGCAGAAAGGAGCTAGAACTGTGCACAGAGGAGTTGCATAAACAACAGAATCATCACAGCATCCTCCTGAAAGAATGTCAAGAATTAAGGGACCACAATGATGAAATGATTCGATGTCATGTTCTGGAAGCTCTGAATGCAAAGGAAAAAGAAATTGGAAAGCTTAAAGTTTATCTTGCAGAGAAGGAAGCAGTTGTCTTGGAGCTCGAGCAAAGGACCAAGGAGAACCAGAGAGTGAATGAGTCCTTAGACCTTCTGAGTGCAAGAGACAAGGATATTGAAAGTCTCAAGACCAGACTTACTCAGAAAGAAAAGGAAATTGAGGAACTATACAGTATTAGGGATAAAGACATGGATAATTTAAAAATTATGCTATCAGAGAAGGAACAGAAATTTGAAGAACTTCTGGGGCAGAAAGACCATGATATTTACAACTTACAAGTTCAGTTGTCTGAGAAGGATGCCAGGATCAGTGAACTCCAGCAAACTCTTGACGAAGAAGCGAGACAATTAACTGAATTACGAACACTTCTTGAAGATCGTGAGCTACAGCTAAAGCAGTTGAAGGATGAGCTGATGACTACAAGAAGCAAAGAAGAGCAGGATCTCTCAGTCTTGCCAAACCAACCACACGATTCATTTTCTAGCTCTTTAACAGATGAGATTAAACCTTCAGTGCAAGACAGTCCAGAGAGGAGAGGACGGAAAGATAGTAGTTCTTCTGATGCACAACAGGGGGAACTAGATCTGGCACTGTACATGCTGCATCAGCGAGATGTTCGCTGTGATGAACTGACATTGGAACTAATGCAGGTGAGGATTCTAACATAGCCATACTGGGACATAAATAACTTAGTGGTGTAGTTTCCCAGCTGGTCAGTATATTCCCCATTTTTTATGGCACCCAAATGTTCAATACTGTTTGCACATAAGACTACCATTGGTTCCTGTCCTGTGCCATTTGAATCCATTCTCACCCTCACATATTACAAGTATCTCTCAAAGATCCCTCTTAATCAGCCCTGTCCAACGTGGCGCCCATGGTATATTTCTCTGGCACCCTCCGTAACCACATAATTGAGCTGATTTTTAACATTAATTCAAATTGTAAGACAAGAGACATTTTTGAACGTCTGAGTACTGTTAAATATTTTCAAAAAATTTTATTGTTATTGTTTTTTATTAGTAGTAGTAGTAGTAGTAGTAGAAGTAGAAGTACTAGTAGTAGTAGTGTGTGGTGGCGCCNTTGTTCTAAAATATATTAAAGTAGAAAAGTAAGCTAAAGTATTCACTCTCTTCTCTAGTGCCCAACAACCTGCAACCGCTCTTACGCCCTTTATCTTCTGCTGTTGATTGGGTTCCGGTGGCAATGAAAGTCTTCCTCAGGATCGTTTACGGGTCTTGGATTATGAGACAAAGGGTAATGATAATGCGACTGCACACATTACAATTGCTTACTGGTTTAATATATTATATGCAGAACACGTCTATCCGTCGGAATCACCAAACTAGAAGTCCTCCTTTTGAAGCTCGGACTATATCCTTGAGTTTGGGGACATTAATTCTCCCACCCTCGCAGATATGTCTTCATCGCTTCTCATTCGATCATTCAAACGGAAGGCGGGTGTTACAACTTTGAATCCTCCAATACCATCTTACAATTATATCTCCGAAGCCGCTGGTCCAGCGATATTCCCAACGATTCCTGAGACCTCGCTGGACTGCAGCTGCGAAGTGTAATATTTCATACGATGAGCGGCATCCTTTGCTGGTAATATATGTATTTATATTGGCTTCACGTAACAACTGACACTGTGGCANGTCAATATATTTGCAGCTGTCCTCCATATCTGAAGACCCTCTCTTCTGTCTGTAACCCAAGAATGTGCTGTGCTGTGGTGACAGGGGACCCACTTAACCTTTGGCAGCCATGCCTTGTATTGTTGCAGTGGTGCACTTGCACAGTCCAACTGGTTGAGTGTTGCATTTTTTCACATATCACCCTTCAGCTAGACAGCCCCTATGGTCTAGTGGTCAGAGTTCCTGGCTACAGATCCAGAGGTCCGGGTTAGATTCCTGGCGCCACCAGATTTTCTGAGAAGTAGTGGGTCTGGAATAGGTTTCACTCAGTCTCATGAGGATAATTGAGGAGCTGTTTCAAGGAAATCGTGGCTCCGGTCTAGAAAACCGAGATTAACGGCCCTGGGGATCTGTTGCAGTGACCGCGCAACACCCTCTGTCCACTAAAGTTCGCGCTAATTTCGCCGACAAGCGGCAGTCGTTTGGTCGGTATAGTTCGTTTTGGACTACAGCCACTAAGTTTGTTTTGTTACCGTTCAGCTAAAATCCAGCCCCTCCCCATAGTACAGGCGGATTTAAAATCACCAACTCCGAGATGATAAAGGTTAACATGGAGGTATATTACTGATGTGGAAATTTTTATTTCCAGCTGTGCACAAGCATTGCTAAAGAAAATTGCTTAATCATTGCTAAGGAAGGGAACTGGCTAGTATAAACTGTGTCAATCATGGAGGTGGCATATGATTATAATATGCTGGTAAGGTAAGGTTTTCTCTGTTCTCAATTAATTACGCACCAGACCATGAAGACATACTGGGGAGGAGATGTATATCTGTACATTTTATTAATCTTGGCACTTGATGGAGGTGAGTGGTCAGCTTCATGCCCCTGCTGCTTTATGACATGTTGATATGCATAAAAAAGTTTGTAAATTCTGCCTTTAAAATATTAATTTGAAAGCCACTTCAGTTTTTAAGTAACAGCCGGTTCTAAAGTCTTCTGACAATTGTGCTGTACACTTAGTATTACCATTTTTCAGATCTTCATACATGATTCAGTATTCTAAAATGAGAACACAATGTTGTGGACCTGTGTCTGCTCCTGTCCTTAGGTAAGGGTATACGTACTCAGTTGGGTGCCTTAGAATGGGATCTTGTGATTGGGATTAACTATTCGCAAAGGACCCGTCTGAGTAGCTGCCCCTAACTTGAGGACAAGAAGAGTTCCACCTTCTAAAACATTATGTTCTTGTAGATCTGAGGTTCCTACAGCAGTGGTTATGAAGAGCTCTATCTTCTGGGATATAACACCGTGTAGTCCCATGCAAGTCAACCAACTTGAGTTTCAACAGACTGCATGGCATTATATCCCAGAAGGTACGACTCTTCATTGTGTTGTTGATAGACAGAGTCCAGACAAACAGAAATACCGACTTCAGAAATAGTAATTTAAAGACGATATTTTGTTAACTTTGGTAGTTGTTGGAAGAACGTGATTCGCTGCAATTACGACTTTCCAACGCACTGCGTATGAATGAAGAACTCCGAGCTAGAATCAGGACTTCAGTTACATCTTCACCTGATAAAACTGCAGACCAGTCGCAGTCAAGAGAGCAGGTACCTCAACACATAGCAGCTGCAGTGTCTTTACCACCGTCGGTGAGTGCCGCAATGCAGGAACCGCAGGAGGACTTACAGATTCTCGCTAATAAGTGAGTACAGAAATCTTGCACGCACTTGATCATTGTTCTTAGTTACTTCAATACTTATTATGTAGCATCAGTTATTTTATGGTTTACAGTCAGTTTATTTAATTTTTAATATACTTTAACCCTTAGATATTTCTCTTAGATGTTATATGCTCAAAATACCTACGTAAAACCAAATCAAAGATTTCAAAATAAATGTCACAGAATACAAGTAATAACAAAATTGTGCTGTTCATTGATTTTTTGTATGGTTTATTTTACAATACTGTTAGTGGCTAGTCTGCATAGCATCAGGTGGATGAATGAGGACTTGAAGCAAGAAGTTTTGGCCAAAGTCAGGTATTGTCCTGGAATTTGTCGGGCATGATTAAAGAAAACCATACAAACCACAGTTGATGTGGCTGGTGTCCCAGCCAAGATTTGAACTAAGTACCTATCAAATATGGGTCCAGAACATTGATGCTATGCCAGCCTGCTCTCTCTGTATGTGCACTACATCTGTTGTCCAACAAGTACAATTTTTATGCTTGTATCCAGTAATGTTTGACTGTTACTGAAGTAGTTGATGTCACCATAATGGGCAGATATCCTGTAGGCTTCATAGTTACTCCCAGTAGTAAACTAAGAAATCTCATGTAATGTATTTCATGAAATTAAACCTTCAAGTTAGTGGCACTGATAATATTAGCATCAGTGTGTGATTCTCGTAACAGATATCCTGTGTGTACTTAGAAGTAAAGTTTCATAAACATTCCTACATCTCTGTAGCTTTATTTCCTGTGTGTTTTGAAGATGTGGTTATACGTACCACAAACTTGAATATGTTTTGCCAAATGGTACTCATCAGAAAGAGATATGTATAAAACTAGCCTAAGGTTTGCCTTGCTGTGGTGAAACTCCTTTGCATACCTCTTGGTGCTGTCATCATGGCCCTACGTAGTGCAATACACTGGTTTCCAGAACTTATAGTATAATGGCACCCCTCAGTTTAGCAAAAATTTCATCTTCCTCCCCTTCTTAGCATTGTATGTACATACAAAAAAGTTTTTCATTTTTAAAATGAACACATTTTAGGATTTTGTCAGTTAATACTTGACCGCCTCTGTGGTCTAGTGGTCAGAGTTCCTGGCTACAGATCCAGAGGTTCCTGGTTCGATTCCTGGCGCTACCAGATTTTCTGAGAAGTAGTGGGTCCGCTCGGCCTCATGAGGATAATTGAGGAGCAATTTCAAGGAAATAGTGGCTCTGATCTAGAAAACGGAAATTAAGGCCGTTGCGCTGACCACATGACACCCTCTATCCACAAAAGTTGGCACTAATTAATTTTTTTTTAATTCGCTTAGTGGGGGGTAGAGTCCAACTGGGTCCACTCATCATGGTGGCCACTGATTGGCCTATTGTAGCCTGCCAAGGTGATTATGATGATGGAGAATTTGATGGAATGAAGACTGGCAGGGGAAACCAAAGTACTCAAAGAAAACCCACCCCAGTGCCACTTTCTCTACCACAAATCCCACTTGACCAGACCTGGGATCGAACCTGGGCCGCCGCGGTTGGAAGCCAGCGACTAACCGCTTGAGCTATGGTGCGGCCTAAGTTGGCACTAACTTCAGTGACAAGCAGCGGCCACTCGGTCGGTATAGTTCGCTTGAGGACTACAGGCCATGGAGTATGTTTTTTGTCAATTGATACTTGACTGGGGTTTACAAATGTTGTGACATTTTGAGAATTATCACCAGTTCAGTTATACCATATATCTTCCCCAGTTTATCCCATGTTTCTCCTTCCCCAGGGTGGCTCATCCCCACCCATTGGAAACCTCTGATGTATCATCTGCTTGAATGTAGCAGTGTGACTTTCTTGAGGGAAAGAACTGTAGGTGAAGCCTCTCCTCATGTAGTTAGTTATGTCTGTGGTACCACTATAGCAATCAGCTCATGTATTCCTCCTTACAAACACCTGCTGCTGTAGGTTATCACAGCTGCATAGTGTTGGATACCACAGAGATGTGACATTGCAAGACGAGCGAGAGCAGCGCCACAGTGAGCAGATGAGAATGTTGCATCCGAGGGGGAGCGGCATAGTCGTCGATGCCAGTTATACCCTTTGTAAGTATCTTATGGCCTGTGATATTTTAGTTATATTTTATTTTTATATTATATTTTAGTGATATTTATTTGACGTTTTGGAGGAAGATAACTGCCTCCCTCTTCAGAGTTAGAGAGTCAGCAGAGAACTGTACTGAAGATGGAAGCAGAAGGTTTTTCTGAAACAGTGGTAATCACCTACCAGACTACATAGTGTCATTACCAAGAATACCACAGTCTAACTTCTGAGAGTAACGAGAAGACGTATTCCTCCAAAATGTTTGTAAACCTCTACTGCCCTCTGCAGCATCATATCCCAGGAGATTCCGATCACCTTATGGTTTGTTTAAATGAGACATGTTGGTAGATTGTAATTATTGAGTTCCTGGATACAGTCACAGGTAGACATTGTTCTGACATGTAATTCTGCACTGACACAGGCTTTCAACCACCTGCTTCATTCACCTCCTCCATATCGCTTTTGATCCTACATAACTCCAGTAGTTGATTTGTCATAAATTGATTGCTTTAAATTGTATAGACAATAATAAAACTGTGCTTTCCAAAAAGAAATTGTTGCATTTGTAACATTAGCCACAAGATGCTTGAAAACTATATTAACAACAAATGTTTTCTGAACCATAATTGGAAAAGAGAATGAAAGGACAAAACTGATTGATTTTCACCACTTGTTCCATTAAATATAAAAAGAAATGTTGAGTTATCCCCACAGTACAGTAAGAAAGAATTATTATTAATTAGATTTCATACAGTTATTTTATATAATTGTAAATACAAACCACTCCATCCAATGTGACATATAAGTTTTTACTATGTTAAAACTTATCTCCCTTACATGTTTCGGTCCTTTCGGGCCATCTTCAGAGGGAACATCATTACAAACTGGAAACTACCATCACAGTAGGTGTTTTGATTTAAAATACATACACTTATATCCTATAATGCACAGTACGCATAAAGTCAAACATTTCACAATCACAGCAGCTTCCTGGTGTTGTAGAGTTTTTAAAAGTTTCTAGATGTTATTTAAAAAACCTTTATTGTCAATAGTTAAAATTTTTTAAACCATGTAGGTTCGTGTCCGTACTCCTATCGTCCTTCTTGTATGGGGCAGATTCTGTGCCGCTTGTCTATCTTGATGAGGAGGTTCTTGATGTCGTCCAGAGTTTGTTCGTGGCTTGCTGTGTTGTTTTCAAGATAGACAGGCGGCACAAAATCTGCCCCATACAAGGACGATAGGAGTACGGACACAAACCTACATGGTTTAAAAAATTTTAACTATTGACAATAAAGGTTTTTTAAATAACATCTAGAAACTTTTAAAAACTCTACAACACCAGGAAGCTGCTGTGATTGTGAAACATTCGACTTTATGCATACTGTACATTATAAGATACAAGTGTATGTATTTTAAATCAAAACACCTATTGTGATGGTTGTTTCCAGTTTGTAATGATGTTCCCTCTGAAGATGGCCCGTAAGGACCGAAACATGTAAGGGAGATAAGTTTTAACGTAGTAAGAACTTATATGTCACATTGGACAGAGTGGTTTGTATTTATAATTGTTAGTGTGACAGACCAGAATGAAACAAATCAAATTTTATATAATGTTACGGTTTCAAATCACAGTCAAGGTAAGTAATGAGGATGATTTATTTGTACACTTTTCTCACATTAGGACATGTTTTCTTGAAATTTTGAAGAAAATTACTCTTAAGTTTTATTAAATTTTTTAATGCAGTAAGACCTCACTAATTCAGAGTAATTGAGACTTATTCAGACTGAGCCCATATCCACATTAGTGAAAGTCAGTATCATAAAAATGCTCGTTTTAACAGACAGAAAATACACTACTAAAACTAAAACAAAAGTAAACAGTAGGTCTACTTTCTCGCAGCCAATTTTCTAGATCTAGAATGCTTTGACTTTATAGTCTTTTAAAATGGCCTTGATGTTCGACATGAGGCCCACGTATATCTGCCATCATCTATGCTAGTGCTACACGTAGAAGTTTGCAATTGCTGATCGTGGCAATGTGATCATCAAGGTTATAATGTGAAACAAATCCAGGTGTGCAAATTAGTGTGGTATCACTGTATTCATAAGTTGGTTTAATGAAAACCATCTGATACCACACATTTGTTTTCACCCTGCATGGTTTGACACAGTTCTGCCATCTTCCAAGGTTTTTATCTAAATTTAAAAGCTGTTAAAAGTTATGCATTTCATATCTGAGCTACATTCAAATAAATTTGTCGTGGTTCTCGTAGATTGATACCAGTCAGGTGATTCTCTGATTTTCTTGTCATACTGTTATCCCTCTCTATACCCTGACTTCCACAGCAACTAGAGGAGAAGGGAATCAAAGAAAACATAGTATCACATGTATGTGTGTGACTGTAGACGGGGTTTGAATTGGTGAATGGATTTATTGACTATTTGACTCAGAAGTACAAGCAGTTACAGTGCTGTCGCTTATCTACACACTTCACAAATCACTGCAGCACACACTAAGCCTCAGCCTTCTATAGTCTTCCCTAATCTCTGCTTGGTAATAGCTCCCAATGGTGTAGATTCTTGAGCTTCTATGCTCATGTCATTGCACACGCTGGCTAGTACTACTCACAACTGAACTCATTATTCCAGCTGCCCACATTATAACATCATGGCACAGACCACATAGAAAACACTGTGTTTGCAACAGTCACTCTAGTGAAGAAAGCAGTCTTCTGGGATTTGGCACCGTGTATATGTGGTGTTAACCGACGTTTCGGAGGAACGTATCGCCTCCATCTTCAGGGTAGAAGAAAAAATATAAGAAATCTGCAAAGCGAAGAGACCGTGAGAACCGGTAAACCCGTTCCTCCGAAACGTCGGTTAACACCACATATACACGGTGCCAAATCCCAGAAGACTGCTTTCTTCATAGTCACCGCCGTGAAAGCCTCAAATCTTACACAGTCACTCTAGTGTTGTGTGTGTATTCGTTGCTGCAGGAACATGTTTACCAAGCTGTTGCCCAGAAACGGTCATTGTTTACAGAGTCACCACTTAGCAACAGGCCTGTACATCACAATAGTTTAGGCATGAGATTATTCAGTGCCATAAAGACATACAGGGAAATTGAGGTATAGCTTCACCATTCTTAACTTTGGTACTAGATGGATGTAACTGGTCAGCTTCATGACCCTGCTACTTTACACCCAAGGAACTAGCACCCGGTATCCATTGTGTAGGAGCCTGGGTTAGGTTCAGAGCCAGTTTGGACACTGGAGTAGAGAAAAATCTCTTGCCTCTGCTAGGAATCAAACCCCTATTCCTTGGTCCATCCAACTCATAGCTATCATAGCTCCATTAATATGAAATGTTAAACTTTAATAGCTTTTAAACTTGGTTAAACACACCTGAAATTGGCAGAATTTGGCCAGAACATACAGGATGGAAATGGTCAAATGTGTTGATTAAAGTGCATAGTGGAAGTAATGGTTTTTATTAAATTTGCTAAATGAATGATGCCTTTAAAATATTTTAAGAGTCCCTGTCGAGTCTTTTCGTACCTGTTTGTATTTCTCATTTTTTTCTTGTGGCAGCTCGAGATGTCCAGAGTCCCTCCACTGTTCTGCTCAATTGGATATGGGGACGAAGGTATGTTACTGGTCAGCAGAGCATATTTGTGTTTTATTTAATGGGTCCATCAGTATCCCAGACTCTATAGCATTGAATAGTGAACAGTTGGATATGATAAGGAAGGAAACAGTTATGGCCTAGTTTGTGGTTTTATCCCAGTATTTGCATGGCGAGACAGAGAAAACTGCAAGAAACCCCTCCTCCCTCAGGAGAGTCAGTGTCATATTCGAGACTTTCACTGAGCACCTCCAGAATATAAATCAGATGAGCAGAGTTGATCAGCCTTAGAACTGGGAGAAACAACTTTTATAATTCTGTATGTGCCATTTGTACAGCAGCCTAGCAACTAAAGGAATACATGTTCAAGTACCTCTAATGGACTCTTTACATAAGGTATGTAAATTGGACACATGGGGACATTAGGTCTTTCCATCTGCATGTTTCATCTCAAAAACTATGTGTAAATTTTGACAAATTTGGTATGTTGGGGGGGGGGTCACACTAAATGTTGTGAGATAAATTTAATTTTTGTACACATCAGTCATTTGTAACCTGACCCTTACATGTATCTAAAATCAAACTTCTGATCAATTTGTTAAAAAAATGGTTTGTAATAAAAATAAAATTATCTCATTAAGATCTATAGGTTCCATGTTAAATATTATGAACATTTAATAAAATACAGGGGAAAATAATTTCCAGCCATATGCACTGTGATATCTGTAGTGTATCAGAGGATTCATATCTGCACTGTATTTTCTATATTTGTGTTATGTCGGTCGAATGCTATTCTGAAAAACTAGGATAGAGATCATTTTAAAATCAATTCACAAATTCACAAACCAGCAACAACAAACAAGCAGCAGGGATGAGATCTGTGTAACCCCTAACAGGGGCCGCGCCATAGATCAAGTGGTAAGTCACTGGCTTCCCACCGCGGCAGCCCGGGTTCGATCCCGGGTCTAGTGAAGTGGGATTTGTGGTGGACAAAGTGGCGCTGGGGCAGGTTTTCTCCGAGTACTTCAATTTCCCCTGCCAGTCACCCTCATCTGTCATCTGGGGCTGGTACAATAGGCCAGAAGTGGCCGCAGTACAAGGGACTTAGCCCCACCCCACTAGCAATAAAAAAAAATAAACCCGTAACAGGACATAGAAGATCTGAAGGAATTTACAGTCAAGACATAAGACAGCAATTAAGTATATTTTCCATATTTGATATTGTATAATAAATTATTGACGGAACTAGCACAGTCATGTGCTCCAAGGGGAAGAAGAGAAAGAGGAACAGCAATGAAAACCTGGGAAGACCAGATCCGGGAAATCACTATTAGATTTGGAACATCTTAATAAGACTTCTCAACGTTTTTTCCAGGCTTTTTACTTTCAGAGCTTACATAAAATTCTGGTTTCAAATTTTACCCCTTCTCTTTAATTTTTAAGAGGCACACGATAGTGTAGTTGGTTGAGGCACTATGCTACAAGCCAAAAGGTCACAGGTTCAATTCCCAATGAGGTCATTGGATTTTTCAGTTCACCTAATCGTTCCAGCCGCACTATGGCCCTGGGGTTGACTCAACCTCTAACAGAAATGAGGAATATTCATTGGGGTAAAGGGAAGCCAGCGTGTGAGACTGACAACCTCACCGCCATCTGTGAGCTGATTGTCTAGAAAATGTGGGAGCCTCAATGTCTCACAACCCAGTGGGCCTCCACAGACTGTTACAGGAATATCTTTACTTTTACTTACTCTTTACCTTTAAAGCAATTTATAACATTATTATAGGGCATTTTTAATATTTCTGTTTCAGTACACCACGTGTGATGCACGTATGAATGCCAGACAAACCATGGGACATCATTTAATGGAGAAACCTGATGGGTTTGGTTTTGCTAATTAGGAATGACAGAATTGTCATGATGTTCATGTAATATCCATTCTTATAGAAATCAACATGAACCTTTATGCAGGTTTTCCATGGTGTTCTGATCCCAGCATGAAAGTTATGGCACTTGGTACACAGCAATGAGTTAACCATGCATTCATCACCTTATAAGAATCTATATAAAATTATTTTGAGGTACATCTCTCATGATTTTGGTGTGATATATCATTTCCTTCATTCACAGTGTAAGGAAATTTTGATATACAATTTCAGGAAAACATATCTAACTGAACTTCCAAGGCTGTAGAATTTGTAATACCCAGTGATGGCTTTTACATACAGTTGGCTGAATATGTACGTCTTCTTTTGTTCTGGTTCAAGTTTAAAGTTGTTCCTGTGCCTTATCTTGACATCATGAAGGTGTGTAGAATCAGAAGTTATGTTCCAAGTGTTCTCCTCCTTTGCATTGATTGAGTTATTTTCATTGTATAGCTGTATTACCCATGGAGGAAACTGGATGAGCCCAGGAGCTGGTCTTCATGTGGTAATGCAGAAAGAAATCCTGTCTGTCTCAGCATGTGAACACTGTCTCACATACTCGTAAAGCCAGTGACCTTACTGACCAAACTGTCATGGCTTATGCAAAGAAGATAGCCAGCTGACATAAAATATACCATATTTAATGAAATTTAATAATAATGTCCTGTAGTAAAATTTATTAACCAAATTTAATTTTCATACGTATTAGAAATGAGCCAGGATAGCTCAGCCAGTGAAGTAACTGACTGAGAAGTCATTTTATTTTAAGCAGGGATTCTTTGCTATCATGTCCATCTTCCTATCCAGGGGGTACCAGGAACTTTGCAGAAAGGGTAAAACAAGCAGAGGGCGACGCTGACCACTCTCCTAGCCCATGATATGTATATTGGCCGTCTTGTAGTGCACTCAATTTCACAGGTCGCTTCACTACATGTTTCGGCATCACTGTGCCATCCTCAGGTGTGTTATTTACGTCAAGCTATTGCATTGCTCACCATCATGTGTCGTTTGTATTCTTTAATTTTATAATGCTTAAATGCAAGAATTAGGATAACTTCATTATATCCAAATTTGTTTCCATGCTCTAGAAGAGTGTTTCACAAAGTGAGAAGCGGGCTTCCCAGCTGGCAGTGAACATATTTTCTTTCTAGAGATTCCGAAAAATGGGCCAGTAACGAAGATGCCGAATTAATTTTGATTATAAAGCCGTGCTGAATTACAGACATGCAGTTTAACAGAATAAGCACTAATTATTAATGAATCTTAATGATATGATTAAGATTAATTAATAATTAGCTTCCAAAATTGATAAACAACATTTTAAGTCGTTTTATAAGTAGTGGGTGGAGATCTCAAAGTTTGTTATTCTTGTCAAGGGAGCCTCAAATTAGAAGAGTTTAAGACCTGCTGTTCTGGAATAATCATTCTGTATATAAGCCATAAAATTTTAATAGAAATATCCACTTCTTTTCGTGTAATTTCTAGGGTTCAGTTGAACTGCTGTAGCATCAAAAGTATTGCCTCCCAAGACTTCTCTTGAGGTTACAGTATGTTCTTGGTGTTCCCTTTGAACCAAGATGTTTCCTTAAGAAAAAAAACAGGCAAATATTTATTATAGATTCTTATAGGTGTTACACTATGTTAAAATGGTAAAAGTTGCCAGTCTTTTTGGAGGATGTAACTGCCCTTGAAATGTCTGTAATTTTTACTGTTTTTACATTACACTGTACCTCAAATATCTTGTCATTGTTGACGTAAGTACCAGAATCATTCCCAGAAAGTGGCTAAAAAGGAGCATTTGTGTGAGTGTGTGTGAGTGAGTGAGTTTGTATGGTCCAGTGATCAGTTTCCTACGGCAATAGACAATAGTATGAGGACTCTGACATAATGTCAGAAAGTACGATTTGTTTGAAATGTAGATTGTCGTCATTGCCTTTCTCACCATCCCGATTATTAATATCCTGAACTAGGTCTCGGATGTGGCAGTGAGTGCCTCCAGAGTTATTCTAGTTGGTATCAGGAAACAAAACATGTGAACTTAAAGAATAGAAATGGCTGAATTAAATTGTGTCTTGAATCTTACAGTGAGCCAATGACTCATGACAGGGATCAGCTCTAGCCTGGTGCAGAGATTTTTCTCCTCCCCACCATATTCAGACTACGTCCGGGACCTATCTACCCTCCTGTCTGGTGGGTAGCAGTAACTGTTTCCCCAGGAGTAAAGCAGCCAGAGCATGATGGTTAACAAATATGTTGAGTCTTACACCCCTGCTCTTTTCACCTTGGCTGGTCAACTATAATTGCAAATTCCAAGTTGGACAGATACAGTACAGTTCAAGATATTAGACCCATATGAGAGCTGCATTGGGCATGAACAGAATATCCATTTTCAAAATGTCCATGCATCTAAATGAATTTCTGAACACCAGTTAACTTTTACTTACCTACTCACTCCATAGTTGTGTGGTTCTCCGTGAACCTTGACTCATTTATGCGTTTTTTTTTTTTATTATTATTATTTTCTTTTTTATCATTCCCCTCCATCTTCCAGCCATCTCAGTTTGATCCTCTAACTTTTCTCATACTTTCAGAATTTTCATAGTCACTGTCAGGTTATCTAATCATATGTCCATACCTCAACAACTTTTACATCTGATTAAAGAAATTGTGACAGTCTGAATATTTGTAACTTTGTCAGAAAGAAGCCGCAATTCTTCTTATCATAAGGTTGTGGACACAGAAAGTTAAATTGGCCTGAAAGTAAAGAAAGTAGAGAAAGGCCCACTGATCCAGCTCCTCATTATCACATATTCTTTTAATCCAATAATTTGTACTGTTTATTTTGTCTTACTTGAGTCTCTCAATTGACAGGTATCTAACATGTTAAAGTAGACACATCAGGACTATTTGCATCATATAGTTTTGTTTTTACGTGTGCATTTAATGAAGTAATCAATTGTATTTATTGTAGCATTTGGTAATCTTTATGACAAACATCTCTGCACTGTTTTGAGTAAATGGTTCCTGCAGCTTCTATTTGGTGGCTTCCAGAACTGAACAAGGGATGGGATATTTGACTATTAATTGCCTTATTAGGAACTGATTATTGTATATAGTTTATAGTTTTAATATACATTGTGATTTATTTGTAAATAGCACTCTCAGAATGTTTAAAATATTTTGTGCAGTGCAATTTGTACAAAATAAAGTTTAAAGAGGTTATTTAATTGCACTGTCTACTGTGTCACAAAACTTTGATATGGGTGTAGAAAGGAGCACCTGGCAGCCTGGGTTAATGGCAGGTCCTATGGTCAAGAGGGGCAAGATCAACATTATGCAGTGTGAGATTTCCTACATCTTTTGCTCCTGCCAACTCTGACAAATCTTTCTGAATACAAATTGTACTGAAATTGAAATGTTCAAGAATTTGACACCTAGTAGTTACTATATGACCCTAAAGGTGTCTCAGAGATGTTTGTACCTATCTACCAAACTACATGGTGTCACATTACAGAATTAACTTAATATTCAATCCCATGAGAATCTGAAATCTCATTAGGAGTTTAACTTGTCATGTGTGAGGACACTTGGAAATACAATTCATCTGTTTTGGGTAAATCACCAGTGTCATTGCATCCTAAAGGAATATATTGGGCGGGTGTGGAATGGATTGGCAGTGGAGTTCCTGTGAATATAATAAAGAACCTTTGGGTTTCTCAAGAGGTAGCATAAATATTGAGTAGGCTATTAGCAATGGTGGGACTGAAATTAAACAGGACACCTCAGCTGTTGGTCTATGCCGATGATGTGAATCTACTTGGTGATAATATAGATACCATAAAGAAATAAGAAAAATCTTTTAATTGACACAAGTAAGGAGGTTGGTCTAGAAGTAAACTTAGTATATGTTGCTGTCTCATCACCAAAATGCAGGGCAAAATCATTACATAATGATAGAAAACGATGTTTTGAAAATGTGGCACAGTTCAGATATTTGGAAATGATGATAATAAATCAAAACCTGATTGAGGAGGAAATTAAGAGGAGATTGAACTCGAATAATGCTTGCTGCCATTCAGTCCAGAACCTTTCGTCTTATCGTCTACTGTCCAAAAAAAATAAAAATTAGAATATACAAAACTTTTGCCAGTGGTTCTGTATGGGTGTGAAACTTGGTCTCTGACATTAAGGGAGGAACATAGACTGAGGGTGTCGAGAATATTTGGACCAAAGAGGGATGAAGTGACAGAAGGTTGGAAAAATCTCCATAATGAGGAGCTTCATAACTTGTACTCTTGTCAAAATATAATTAGAATGATCAAGTCAAGGAGGATGAGGTAAGCATGGCATGTAGCACGAATGGGGGCGAAAAAGCACAATAGACCACTGTAGGTCACGGTGCAAGGGCCGAGAAGGCCTACCCTTCATACATTCATTCATGGGGGCAAAAAGGAATGCATATAGGATATTGGTGGGAAAGCCAGAAGGAAGAAATGATACCAATGCGAACAGCAAGGCGTAGGTGGGTGGGCTATATTAAAATGGATTTTAGAGAGATGGATTGGATTGATCTGGCTCAGAATAGGGACCAGTGGGGGGCTCTTGTGAACACGGTAATGAACCTTCGGGTTCCATAAAATGCTGGGAAATTCTTGAGTAGCTGCAGATTTGGCTTCTCCTCAAGAAGGGCTCAGCTCCATAAGTAAGTAAGGCTATTAGCAACTCGAGAAGAACATTTATTCCGCGGGATACAGATATATGTACTTACCAAATTATAAGTCAATTCTTCGCATAGCTAACCTATTTTGATTCAGAACTTTCTCATAGCATTGGTGTTTCCCTCGCATCAGGTGCAGACCATTTACATGACAGCGATTTGTAATATAGACATATTTATAATCTTTGATCCCCAAAAAATTGACTTGTGTGAAAGTTTAAGAAACGTTTCGTCTAATTACCATTTTCCGTTACTGAACAACTACTTTGACATACTGTGAGCGCATCTGTATCACGTGACCTTTGTATTTTTATATATACCGCCAAATTTAAAATTCCAGACACAGTAAAATGTGATTGGTATATACCATTTCCGCTTTTTAATTTTCATTTTACTTATTCTTTATTTCCGATGTTGTTCTGAGGCGTTTCCGCTACAGACTCTTTATATAAATCTTCATTGTACTGAACTCTGAACTATGATAACATGTACTGAGTATATGTCACAACCATAACATTAAACCGTCCACGGAGAACATATTTTGGCTTAAATTATTCTCTTAACTTCAGGGTAAACGGCAGTACGCCATTTTGATTTAATTGTAATTACGCCTAAAAATCGTGTGGGCGGGCAAAATGGCCTGATCCTAAAAAAGTTAAGCAGCTAATAAGCAAAATCATTCGCCCTCAACAATTTCGGTTTTCGAGAGTCTCGGGTACGAAATATAACATATGGAAAAGTGAAACAGAAAAAGAACATCGTGTTATTTGTGTATTATTTATGTGTTGACATGAACTGAACACGTGAAAATTCTCCTCGAATGTGCGAATCCCCAAGACGACATTGCCGTTGAAGTCACAGACGTAAAGGTAAGATGGATATGTACTAAATATACCATTTAAAAAACTGTTGCTGAAGTACTGCGTACTGAATAATTCTATTGAAGAAATTAGAAAAAAGAATAAATGTTTTCGAGAATAACTAGCAGATTAGGCCAACATTAACCATTATGTTGTAGGATAAAGGTCATTCAGTAAAAATGGAGAGGTTACGTTCGAAGTTGGAGAATTCGACGAATATTTATTATGTTATAAATGGAAGTGCCAACGAATTATTAAAATTAATAAAGGAGTGGGTAGGATCTGGTTTTTCATAGCAACTTCACAGAAATCCTTATGTTTCGAGATGATGTATTCATTGCAGATTAAGTCACTATTAAATGCTATTTGTATTTAGGTTCAAATGTTCGCAAATTATCGAACATCAGACTCATACAGGATTGTCAGTATATGGAGATGCCGTCGGGATATTTTCTTATAAACGTACATCTAAGTCGTTTCAGTTTATTTTTAGTGATCGTCAAAGAGATTCAGAATATAAGAATAGATTTTTTAAAGTAATTCTAATATTTGCTGTGTTTCCTTCTTTCATCGACTTTTATTTCTTTTTCAAAAAGTCCATGGGGTGTGGTAGATGCCTGGCTTACCACCCTTCCTTGCCGGCGGATATACATGCATAAGTAATTCCGTAGTGTAGTTTTGTCACGACTTTTATGTATGCGGAATGATTCAAGAGCAGGAATCCCGAATGAATTCACATTGTCAAGAAGTTTCGAGAATATCAAATTGTTTCAGCTGCAATACAAATGCTGTGTGCTCCCGATATTTCGAGCATGACATAAACCACTGGTACGGACTGGAAGACCGGGATTCGATTCCCTGCAAGGCCACCAGTTCTAGATATGCTCTGGGGCCCGCCCATCTTCCTGTGCAGTTGATACCAATGGGTTTTTCCATGAAGTTTGTGCGGTCGGAGCGTGAAACTGACCACTCACTCCCATGTGATTAGTGCTGAGGTTCGTGCGTCATCATGGCGTGGTGCGTATTTAAGCACAGGGACAATTTTTCGTATTCCGATACTTCGAAAAGTCACCACGTCACGTTTTTCTGAAAAATATTAATATTAAATTCTACGCCAAATCCAAAGGATTGTAAATTCCAGGGCGTCAGCGCACGAGATGTATTCAGTTGCCGGAGGGCAACGTAGAAACCCCAAAGACCCAGTACCAGCGGAGCTATAGTTTAGAATTCAAGGCCATGCGATGCCGCTTTCAACTTTACCGACCCGGCTCTTGACCACTTCAAAAGGATAGGCCATGTCTGATTAAAAGGAAGGCTTAGTCCAATGCCACGATCGCCCTCCGGGCACATGTCATGTTTCTCACCCAATCCCATCCATTGTGTCTATTTATACAGAGGGGCGAGAACAGGGGGGCCATTTCCTTGCTGATCACAAAATTAAAAATGTCTTACTACACAGATTCCGAAACTGTGTTACCTGGATCCTTGGTTTCTTTGGTGTTCAGTGGATAAATACCACCGGTGATGGAATTCAATATGGAAAGCAGCCCCCTGTTATTCTGCATGTTCTTCCATGTATGGAGTTACAAAGAGAAGAAAAATCTGAACACAGAGAATAAAGAATGACAATAAGAAAAGAAGGAAGGAAGATGAATGGTAAAAAGAAATAGATGAGTGGGAGGAATGAGGAAACAGAGAAAATGGACTACTTAACTGTAGATAAAATTAGTTGTATAAATTTTGTGCGATGAAGTCCCTAGGCACTGTGGTCACAGATGGGCCTACTGTACCAGCCCCTGATGACAGATGACTGTATATCATTGGTGGAATGATGATTGGCAGGAAAATGGAGATGATCACCAAAAATATGATTGAGAAAAAGATATGGAAGGATGATTTTGAGTGATAAGGTCATCATCTTTATGGATTAGGCCATACGTGGTCTGTTCCGTCCTCTTGAAGAATATGCCAATCTCTCCATCTTAATTGTGGGCGTCCTATTTTTCATATGTTAGAATTTTCTTCGGAATCTGGCTGTCTTCCATTCATCACGTGATATTTTCGCTGTGGTCTGGATTTTAGAATTTAACATTTTTTTGGTCTTTCCTTATGTAGCCTGCTACATTCCTCAAGAATTTCGTTTCTGCAGTTTCAATTTTTACTTGCTGTACCCCTCCCAAGACCATATTTTGGATCCATATGTAATTGTAGATACCACCATAGCTTTATAGAAATTTATCAATGTCCCTTTCATTGTCTTGTTATTCAGTATTCTTCATATTGTGCTGCACATTTGGTTAAATCTGTTCACATTTTATTTTTAAATCTCTGTTGTTTGATACTGTAATTGTGTACTCTAAGTGATTAAAGGGGCACGAGGTAGCGTAGTTGGTTGAGGCTACAAGCCAGAAGATCGCAGGTTCAATTCCTGATGAGGTAAATGAATTTTTTTCAATTAACTAAACCTTCTAGCTGCAATATGGCCCTGGGCTCTACTCAGCCCCTAACAGAAATAAGTACCAGGAAGATTCCTGGGGGTTAAAGGGCAGCTGGCGTGCAAGGCTGACCTCACCACCATCTGTGAGCCAACTGTCTAGAAGATGGGGAGCTTTGACATCTCACATCCCTAGGGACCTTCATGTAGCATAAATGTAACTGTAAAATAAGTCAATAAAATGGAAGTCTGTAGGGCTACTAGTACAGGTACCAACCATGTTCATTTACTGTAATCACATCTGCATACAAACATGTCAGGAGGCCCATTACATTGAAGTTTAATGTAGTGGCTGTAACCACCTACCAGGCTATGCTGACCTACCCACCCACATAGCTATATACTTACACAATTGTTCTCACAAGACTCCCAGGCTACAGGCACTCCAAAATAACTCAGAAATTATTGTCCATCCTTTTGTTTAGATGTTCCTAAACTTATTTTTGTCAGTGCTTTTCCAAAACAGCAAGTTCAATGATTACAGACAGGCTCTGGATTGTGCCTAATGGCTGTCTTTGATGGTAGTAATAATCACAGATTTTCTTTTTTAATTTCATGAGATGGGTGGAACACAGTGATACTAATACAGATTGTATGAAAACAGGTTGTGAGGATGGGAAGATCACACCTAGAATGGGCTTTGGTTTTACCTTCAGGTCATTATCAGAACTTTTTTGACTAACTTCTGAAGAGTTTTGTTTTCTGCAATATGCTGTGTAGTCTGCTGAAAGTGAACAGATGTTTTGGAGGAACACATCGCCTCAACCTCCAGGCTTGACTGAAGATGGAGGTGACATGTTCCTCCTATATGCCAGTTGACTTTCAGACTGAAGAGGCATGTCCTAGGAGACTTCATAACCACCATTTCAGAATTCCTCTCCAGCCCTTTCTATCCTGCATCAGTCCTGTGAGCTTGTTGCTACTGAAGGTGATTATATAATTATAACTGAAACATTCCCATGGTGAGAGCAAAGGAACAGCTTAAGGGAGATGAGGGTCCATATATATATATATACTTGTCTCCGTGTACTAGTATTGGTATGTTCTAGTACTTAAAGTGGAATATTATCATCAAAGAAAATACCACATTTAAAAAATTCATTCTTTATTCTCATTTTATAGCTACAAATCTATCTTCATTCATATCTCATCTCTTCAATAAAATTGCAGTAAAGTATAATAGTTTTTCATAATACCATGCAATTTTTATATCTGTATATAATATATGTAAAATCATGTACAGAATCTCTAGGAAAGACTTATATCAGCCACTCGTAAGGTGATTATCGGAACACTGAGGTATATCGGAAGTGTATACAGCGGTTTGTGCATTAGGACAGTTGGAACATGTCTGTTACGACACTGTAATTGAATAAGAACAGGTTTCACTGAGAAACTGGCAGCATTTGTTCGTTAATGGTATACGGGTATGATATGTGTTCGGTACAGTGCACTTTGAAATTACATAGAAAACAAATTCAATATATGTAACATATTTATAACATTTTTAAAAACCTATTTAATATTATATATCTGAGTCAGAGTGAGTCATAAATCACAACAATATTCTCCGCAAGCTTTCCCAATCACACATTTTAAGGTACATTTGTTTAGATGTGCTCATTTTTATGTAACTTTCAAACTGCCACACATGATATCATAAATGCGATTTAAGTCAGCCAGTAAGTAAAACAGCTTAAGTGTTCTTCAATAATGTTCAAAAAGTATTGCCAATCCAAAAACATCTGCTAAGTATTTAACCCTTTGTTTGCTATAAACAATACACACCATGTTTTTCACATAAATTTTGTCCCATTTTATGTAATGTTCAAAAAGTATTGCCAATCCAAAAACATCTGCTAAATAATTAATCCTTTGATTGCCACTGAACAAACAGAAAGTGTGAGGAATTTTTTTCTAAGCCTGGTGAATGCTTAGAGGCATGTTTTCAGTCGCTTGTAATTCGTTTACAAGAGATGGCACAGCAATGCAGAGTATTCACTCAACACTTTCTGTCTCTTATCCTTCAGTCACGTCGTTTTATGCTGACAATTCTTATGTAGTTTACAGCACCAGAACTGGAAGTAAGACAATTACACCTGACACATAAAAATAAGTAGTGTATGTAATATAACAGGCTTCTTCGTCCCAAAATTGAGACCATGGGACTTGCCTTTTCTGATTCTGGAAATTATTACTTGATGTTTGCTGGTATTCTAGACTATTAAACATGTCAAATACGATTAGATTTCAGTATGTATGCACTGGCAAGTTTGTTTCATGAAATACTTTAGGTTATATTGTGCTAATATACACAATACAAAGAATATAGCAGAATAAAATTCCAACAGGTTTTTTTAGTTTTGTGTCAAATTTTACACGGGTTATATACTACACAATCAAATATGGTACAACAGTTAACATAAAATCTGAACAATTAATCATGTGGGACCGAAAACATGCGTCTAAATATATTTTATAAGCATAATTTGTATATTTATTTGTCCAGTACTCATTAATTCACCCTCAGTATCAACTATACACATCTCTGTGCTTAGTTACATTTTACTCAACAGTAGACACTAACATGTCAAACTACATACCACATTTGTTTTGCCTCATTAATTTTGGGACATTTCGCTGTTAATTTACCAGCTATTTTCACTGGTCTAGGACTCAGTTAGTAAAAATGTTTTGTAAACAATAGTGTATCAAAATATTTTATGAAACATAATTTTGAAATGTGTACTTTCTGGTCTTACTAACAGCAGTTACCATTCACACATCTGAGCATCCAACAAACTAAATTAACAACAGATTTTGGTACATTTGCTCTTGATATATATATATATGTATATAAAACACAATTATACCTTTCATAGTTGTCCCAAATTAACATATTATTTTACATGTTTCTTTCATAATGAGAAGTAATTTAAGAGTAGTGCAGTGACTAAATGGCTACATTATTTGATAAACAAAACAATAGCCCAGTGTTAAGTACAGTTAACTACATTTTCGATTACATTATTAATGAACAATAAGGAGCGGAAGACTTAACATAAATAGTAACGTCTCATTCGAATAGCAGATGGTGTTTAAAAGTTAGAAGGGACTAAATACCCCCACTGACAGTCTTTTAAGTAAAAATGGATGTCTGTAGTAAAATTGTGAAAAATATGGCCATTGCATGTGAATGTACAAGAACATGATTTCACAGCTGAATATATATTTATGTATCACTTCTTCGCTTAAGTTGATATGTGCCGAATACTTGGAATGTGTTATAGTTCTTAACCCTATCGCAGTTATAGAACAAAATTGCATTGATTGATTGCCTTACACTGTCCATTTAATAAACCTCAAAACAATATTAGCTATTGTACTTTATATGAACAAGATAACTCATTAAGTTCAATATCATTGGAGCTCTATTATTACTGTTAATCCCATTTACAGCCACAATACAAATACTTTTGTCTAGCCTGCTGTACACTCACAGTCCTTAGATCAAATATTTGCTGATGATTAACAATGACTGCTCTTTTCATAGGAAGCTTACAGCGATATTTGTCTAAATCTGAAACTGTAATATTCAAATACGAGGGTCGTACTTAAAGTCACGAGCAACAATTTTTTGTAAAGTAACATGCTTTATTATTGACAAACCAAATACACCACCTCAATCTACAGACCTTTCTTTATTTTTCCACATAATCACCACTTCTTTGTACACGTTTCTCCCAGCGTTCTGGGAGTTTGAAAATTCCCCTTCTGTAAAATTCCGTTCGAGCCATCCGAAGACACTGACATACTGCTTTGTGAATTGCCTCCCTTGTCTCAAAATGTTCACGCAGCTGATCCTTCATAAATCCGAAAGATGGTAGTCGGAGGGTGCCAGATCAGGGCTATAGGAGGAATGTGGAAGAACTTCCCACCCCATCTTTGCAGTTGCTTCCAATGTGAGGCAAGTGGCGTGGAGGTGAGTGTTGTCATGCAGGATGATGTTTCGTCCCAGACATTTATCGTGCAATGCGCAACGGAGCTTGTGCAGCATCTGGACATAACGCGCAGCATTGATGGTTTGCCCAGGTTCCAGGAATTCGGCCAGAATAAACCCCTCTGCATCCCAAAAGACTGTGCCCATCCCCTTCAGAGCTGATGGCACTGTCTTTGCCTTCTTTTTTGATGGAGAATGCAAATGGTGCCATTCCATACTCTGCCGTTTCGTTTCAGGCTCAAAATGGTGAAACCAGCTTTCATCACCTGTCACAATACAGAGCAAAAAATCATCGCCTTTGTGTCGATATCTCTGCAGCAGTTCTGAGGTGATGGCTTTCGCTGACCTTTGTGGTCTTCGGTCAATAACCTCAGGACCCAGCGAGCACAAACTTTCCTACAGCCCAAGCTTTCAATCATCTCCTGTACTGCACTGTGCCCTATTCCTGGTCAATAACCTCGGGACCCAGCGAGCACAAACTTTCCTACAGCCCAAGCTTTCAATCATCTCCTGTACTGCACTGTGCCCTATTCCAAGTTTTTGGGCTGTTGTGTCCACAGTCACACGCCTGTCATCTTGAATGATCTCATCCTCTCTTTCCTTGTTGCATTCAGTTGAGGCTGTTTGAGGACGACCACTCCGAGGCGCATCTTCGATGCTGGTGTTGCCATTTTTAAAATGTTTCACCCATCTTCGAACACTGCTCGCACCCATGCACACTTCCATAAGCACGCTGAAGTCTCTGGTGAAAATCTGCAGCAGGGATTTCCTCTTTCATAAGAAATTCAATGACAGCACGCTGGCGAAATGACGTATTGTTGTCGGCCACTTTGTTAGGAGTGATACTGGTCACGTGATGCAAGCTATTGACGTCACAAGACACTCAAGGTTAACACAACAGCTGGTTCCACCTACCACCATACTCTCTTTCGTCTGCTGTTCCCAGGTTGCATGTAAAAAAAAAAGTTGCTCGTGACTTTTGGTACAACCTAAGTATATATGTCATGGTCCCAGGGTAATCACACTGTGGCAGCCCATGCCACTTTTTTTTGGCAACTAAAAATACAAACCAACATTTCCATTATTTTTGAGAAACAAACATCTAGATAAAATCTGTGGATTCAACGTCTTTTCCGTGCCATCCCTGGGGTTAACTGCCCCAGTCAACCCACCCCCCCTTAAATGCAGCCTAAATTTGAAGTATATTCCCATAGCATGCAGAAAGCAGCTTGGCAGTGATGGCTCATAAGCTGGGACTTAAAACCACAGAAACCTGTATCCAAGTATTCAACAGAAATCACACATAAATGAAGTAATCCAGTTTCAAATTATCTGTTACATTATCTAGGAACCCACATAAAAAATTAAGTTTGTATATCTGCTGTTTACGCTTACGATTAATAGTGACCATAATCAAAACATATTTACAAAAATGACTCGGTGACTAAAGCATTTTTATTCTTCTTTTCTGATATTATAACTAAATAATTGGTATTAGTGTAATTTTAAAGCGTATATAATTGCCTTCCCCTTGCAAAGCGAGGCTCTCATTATTCCATGTTCTCAAAGTGTAGTAATGGTTAGCTCAGGTGGAATCAGGTCTCAATAGTACAAGGTCCTGAACAACATTTCATTTAACAGTAATATACTTCCAACTATGGAGAACCCCAAGACAAATTTTAATCTTACTATTTTCTGCAATAAGAAAGTCGTTATTCAGTGTTGCCTTTGTACCTTAATATGGACTCTACGTAGGTTGTAATTCAATTTGTTTCCATCTAACTAGGGCTTTTATCTATCAGTGCCTAATGGTATGATGTACTACTGCCTTATTTCTTTCATAAACCCAAAAATAACAATTCTAATCTAAACATGAGAATAGCCAAAGGAAAAATAAGTGTATTTTTTTAAATTACAAGATTTTAACCTTTTTTTTTTCTTTCTTTGAAAAATTAGAAGTACACCCCCACACACCTTTCTAAAAAAGCACTGCTTCTAACACTTTGAATGTTGACATCTTTGGAAAGTTCTATTAAATACATACACATACAGTTTTAAATTGTTTTTCTGGTGTGTTCATCTGTGACAGTATGCCATTTAACCTTGTCCTCCATTACTCTGATTGTCGGTTGTAATAGAAACACACAGTCTTGTCTGAGTAGGCACAATTTTTATTCTGCTTAGCTTTCAAGAGCACTTTGGTTGACAGACATGGAAAGAATGATTCGCCATCTTCCATTCTGTGTTGCACTGAGAATGTGATGCTCTCCTGCATGACCACAATCCTGTCACAAGGTCTTAATCAGAAATGAATATCTCGCACATCTGTCGGCGTTCCAGCTTTCCCATATTCTGCTATCTTTTCTGTTCCACCAGACAGTGGTGAAGAATGATCTAAAGTTGATCTAGAATTAACTGTTGTGCAGCCATTTCCCTGTGAACCTCCATTACAGTCAACATCTCGGCTATTCACAGTAGCTGTTACCATATCTTCGAGTAAGTGCAGGCAACCTTGTAGGTATTCCTGAAAAAAAAAAATGTTGTATATAAAATTTAATAGCAGAACCTCTTTACATACATACATAAGGTAACTAAGAGATATATTTTTTAGTTCCTACTGCATATGAACAAATATATCAAGCAATTGGAAAATGAAATAAACAGCTCTGTTAAAATCACATGATATACAAATATCTGTCCACTAGTGCTTACAATAATAATCTTTAACCTTCTGAAGATAAACTTTGTATGTCGTTCCTCTTTTCTGAAAGAATGCATTTTCTTTTGCAATTCTCATAAATATCTTGGCCTCGTTGAGTGCCAGTTACATTGATGTGAGGCCCACTTCTTTGTAGTGTTTGATCCTAGGCAGATGTGGATATAAAAATGATGGAATAGTTATAACCTAAGTAAGATCCTGGAACAAGTGAGGAAACTCACAAAAAAAAACAGGACAGGTGATGTCCTAGCTGAAATTCAAACCAAACACCACAGTGACACCTTGTGATCTGATATGAAGGTACCACTGTTTCAAAGGAATATGTCTCTGTCATTAGGGTAAATTCAAGGTAGCATCATAACCCAGTAGACCACAATAGGAATGTTCAGTAGATCCTTAACTTACCCTTTCAATGGCTGTGATAATATGTAGCCTGTCTAGCAGTTGGCTGAGTGAACACCCACTCTTCACTGTCCATTCCAAGCCATCGAGAGCTGCTGCTATGCTCGCTGCGGCAATTATACTTGGAGTGTACATAGAAAATGAATAATCTGCAACAGAAACATATAATGCGTTGTTTTTACGCTGGCCATTATGAATTCAAACGTACCTCTAGATGTGTAAAACAAAATTGCAGTAGTCGAGCAGGATATTAAGTTAACAGTGCAGTTACCGATCAATGAGCTATTTGCAAGTGACACTAAATCTGCCAGCATATGGATCTGCTAACAATGATTTGTTGTCAGTTGTCATTTTCGTGAAAAAATATCCCTTCATCTGTTCTTAAAACCTGTATTTTATATTATTTCAATACCCAGGGCCCCTAATTTATTGGTGAGGTATGGGCATTGAGGTTAAGTTCAGCCCTGTTTTGTAATTCATCAGGCTTGTGCTACTGCTGCGGCAGTGCCTTCGATATTTTGCATGTCTTATACATAAAAGCCAGATTGATGTATGTTTCTGCTCACACAGTACATAGTTACTCTTGCTAACAAATGGTGTTAATGTGAAACAGCATCAACATGTCATTCGATAACAAATCCACTTCCTTTCACATATACGTATATGCCAATTTGATACGTCTGAATTTGTGATATTTGCTTGCACTCACCATAACACACTTTTGTAGAATACATTTAAATGTTTAATTTCACTGTCCCCTTTTATCATGATTCCTAAAATGTTGATCTTCAATGTTTCTATGATACACAGTGAATAATATAAAGGTGTATTACAGGTCCGTAAATGTATCATGTGATAAAAGTACAGTAGACCTTGGTTATAACGTCATCAAAGGGACCTAAAAATAGTGTTATAAACGAATGTCGTTGTAACCGAAATGGGCACTTCCACAGTAGCCTTATGTTAGTCACGTAAAAATCTACCAAAAACCGAGTTAAAATGTTGCATTTTTTAGTGAAATACGTAGTTAAGTACAGAATAACGTAACATTAACATGGAATTGCCCAAATGTGTAATATCAAAGACATATTACAGCGCTTTTCACTGACAATACACACCGCACTAATACTGTATATTAAAGGTAGGCCTACTCACCAAATTACAGTAGATTACAACAATTGTTGTGCCTTACTGTACCTAGATACGAGTACAGTAATCAGTTATCTTCATCTGTTTCCTGTTACTTGCCCAATACACACTTTCTAAATTACGTTCAATGTCCATATCAGAGAAATTCAGGAATGAAAATGACGTTACATACGAGGTTGATGCATCTGTGCATGTCGTACTAAGCAAGGTATAAAAACAGTTGCTTTATGAGGAATTAGTTCGTACCATTGAATATTTGACGCAATAGACAAGGTGTCGCAGAAACCGATGTTGCTATAACCAAGTTTTACTGTATTAAGAATATTAATGTATGCCTCAGGCAACAGTTTCTTACTAAGTTCTCAAGAGTTATTACTTAAAAGGCTGTTACATATGCATGCACAATTTTGGTAACTCGGTAAGATTTTCGTTCCTGATTGTATCCTGATTGTACAGAAACATGTCATGGCATATTGCATATTTCAGTGCCTGTTGTCACTGTGTTGGATATACGATCTGTAGAACTGCTCTCTCAACTGAACTACATTGACTATCATGTAAAATTACATATGGTTTCACTGGTTCCCCATCTCGGGAAGCATGAGATTCCTAGCTTATACCCAGCACATACAGGCCGTCTTTAGACCTGAAATAAATAGGACAGTGGTTGCAGTTGCACTGTGGGTGGGGAGGGAGGGTGATGCACTATGATTACAATACAGTTATCTCAATGGTGTTCTTTGTAGTTAATTAAACATATCTATGACATATTTATTCATTAATATCCTTAAGAGTGGAATTTATTGTTGGCCAATATGGCAAAAAAATCTGCATTGTCTGACATTTAGAGCACACAGCTGCTTCATCACAAAAATCCTCGAATTTTGTCCACAGTGTATTTGTTTCACCCTTTTCTCGGTACAAACAGCGATTATTTCCCTAGAAACAGCATTAACCGGTTGGTCTCTACTGCAAATGTAGCCTGCAAATAGAAGGCTGATAACAGTGACTACGAAGAGTAGTGTGTTCTGGGATGTAACCTCACGTACTCCAGTAGACGTACACCGACGTTTCGGACAAATATCCTACCATCTCCAGCTGCCTTCTACTGGGCTACAACTTCATATCCCAGAACACAGTGCTCTTCAGAACGTAGTCTGTTTACCGTGAGGTGGGAACCGAATTATATAAATATCACATAGCCGGTAACGGTTAATATTAACGCTATAAAGCGCAGTGGTTACTACATGTACCACCTGCTTGTAACATCCTAAAATTCTGCATACTCCCCACAGTGTATTTGTGGCTTCTGTATGGTTCTCACAATAAACAGCGTTTTTTTCCCCAAACAGCATTAACCGGTTGGGCTTTGTAACGTAGATGTAGTGTTTCCTGTGAGGTCTGCACTGAACATACAAAAACTCTGCATCCTCCCCACACAGTGTATCTGTGGGTTTGTATGGTTCCCACAATAAACAGCGACTGTTTCCCCAAACAGCATTAACCGGTTGGGCTTTGTAACGTAGATGTGTTTCCTGTACGGTACCGATTGAAACTGTATATTATCTAGAAGAAATGCAGTCTTTATTAAAGGGTTACACATACCAAAATATGACAGTTCCTATTAAAACTATTCTCCTCCGTTAGCACGTAGGTACGCTACTTAACGTCTTCAGGCTGGAGGCGTTACAGAATTATGGCGGGACTAGACAGTTCCCTCCTTCCCAACTCATCATCCTGCTGGGAACACCCTTCCAGGGGCCTCCGCCACAGCATTGGAAAGAGAGAATACAATATAGTTTCAGTCATGAAAATCATAACACAAGCAGACCGCCTGTATGCTTAGCTCAGAGCAAAAGTGACACACAGGCATCACACGACTCAAGCATGCCCTTTACAATGGTATCACGCGAGATATTTCTTTGAACACTGCCCATTATGTAAATAATACGACGTTTCGTATATCCGAAAGTCACTCAACGGGTCAGGCCATTTCCCCACCATGTTCACTGTGCCCTATCGTGGGCCAGCTGAAACCACTCTTCGTTGAATCTTATTTACTACCACGTTTTTCCTCTATCCCCGCCTAGTCTTCCAAGCGACCTCTTTCCCTTCAGTATTCCGGCAAAACTGTAGGAATTTATTCCCCCGTTCGTCCTTCCTATTTAACCCCCGTTTATTTCACCGCCTTACTAATATCTGCCGAAGAGCACAAATTATAAAGCTTCTTATCACCAATTTTTCATCCTGTGCTTCCCTTTTAGCTATGAACACTTTCACCCCCACATTTACCAAAGATACCACTACTGCACGTTACCGCTGGGATGGCAGGTCAAATTATAAGTCTGCGTATGGTCTATTTTAGGGTAACGTTCCCACCTCGTGACTCAAGGTACGCGGGTTCAAACCCGGCGGAGGTCGTGGAATTTTTAAGGGCGGAAAAATTCAGGGAACAAGTCCTCCGGGAGGGACTTTAATCCGTGGGTCCCGTGTCGTAGCTTTACGGCACGTAAAAGAACCTCATGTCCCAAGGGGACCACTGAGCCAAATTCAGGACATTTCCGCCCAACAGTAGTGTCTAACGCCTCTGGTAGATGGGGGAAGCATCGAGATACCGCTGAGCCAGTAGAGGCCGAACTCGCTGGCTGAGTCGGGACTGATGGCACGCACCAGTACCGGTAGGGTATAGACTGGTAGAGTATCGCAGGGGGACGCACAATGGACCAATATCTGGTCTAAGTGCATGGGGAAACCCACCCTCTCCAATATAATACAATACAATGGTCTATTTTAATTTTCGGCGTTTAGGTACACAACTAATTTCTCGGAGCAGTCCTTGTGAAGCTCAGTCCCTCGGGAAACGCAATTTCCCGCATTTTCAAAAACGAAAGTTCATCGACGTGTTTCCTAAAGACCGCCACTGGTCCTTGAAACAGATCTAATGCACACCCTCCCACCCAATTTAAGACACATTTTAATATTATCTTCCCGTCAGTGCTTCTCCAACTCTGCCGACAAAATCTGTGTATCAGGAAGGAGAAGAGGTTCTGAACTGTTGTAACAAGCACTGAATGAATTCTATGTTCGCTTCATTAACCTTTCAAAGACTGACTGCATAACCGCTAAACTACCGGTCCTCCCCAGCAGTCATTCTTGCTTCTGAATCCCACGAGACTCATAACCATATTTTACTGCCTGACGGCTCTGGAAACCTTCAGGCAAATATATAAAAATCCAGTTCGTACCTCACAAGAAACAAATTGCGTTTCCGCCACAAGGGCCAGCCAGTTAATGTTGTTTAAGAAAATAACTTCTGTTTATTTTGAGAATGAAGGGTTAATGTGACTGTTGTAATGTAATTCTGAAACACAAGTTCCTGTCCAGACGACTGCGTCATATAGGCCACTGATGCTCTTAGCCTGTGTAGTCAGGACTGCCCTTGGAATTCATGACTACTCAGACGGTGTTTCAAGGCTCATTCCGAACTTAGTATAATTTTAATCGCGGTCTTTCTCACTAAGTCTGATTATCCATACTGTTGCATGTTGTCAACTTTTTCGTTATGTGGCAGGATGAGCACTGAAACATACGTTAACCCCGGACAGCACGGTGGTTACTGTACGTACCACCTGTTTTTAACATCTATAAACACTACAGTTTGTGGGAATTCCCAAAATTCACATTAAGGTTACAATGAAATATAAAAGAAACATGAGAATAGCGGTAACGGCGTAGACTTGAAAGTGGGAGGGACCTGGTTCGAAACTCACCCAGGTCTCTGGCTGTCAGACCGAAACATACTGCAAATCATAAAATTGTATTCGAATACAAATCAACTAAAATTTCGGTCTCCCGTGCAATCTGCTACAAAGAATATACTGCCTCTATCTTCAGTATAACCGCGTACATGATACGCCGTAAGACTAGAATATGACTTTACCGTTTCGAGAACCTCGTAAATATATTAATACAAATTAAGATAACATTAATATTCACTTTC